GGGTGGGTGATGATGCACAGAAAAAGGACCGAGAGCCATGTATATACACATGCATTGTCAAGGCATGATGGATGGATGGATCGAACTTACCGCCCAGATGGTGCCATCTTCAGCGGCGCCAACGTCCCTGATGGTGGTGCTTCCAAATTTGTACCAATTGGGACGACATACAACAAAGTTGCCCCACCCATGGCCGCGGTTTTGTCCAGTAATCTCTGGAGCAGCACCGCCATGTTTGTAGCACGGCGGAAATCGGCCACCGCTTCCAACGTTGACCCACTGATTCAGGCGATCGGAAATGGGAGCCCACTGATCCCCACGTTGTAAAGAGAAAAGTGGCCTCCGGTTCGTCGTCCCATCTGGAGGGCAAATTTCCTTTATCGAAGCGAGTGATCCACCTTGAGCCTTGCAAAAGTTTTGGGCGGCAGTCCAACCAATGGGGAGTCGAGTGGTGTCTCTTGGTCCATACATGCGAGTGTTTCCAACCAACCAGTCGGTGGTTTTATCCAATCTTCGGCCATGACGTCGGACAGTGACGGCATCGGTGTCTTCTTGTTCGTCATCAGTGTCTTCTTCGGCATCATCTTCTTGGTAATAATAGTCGTAGTAATAGTCTTCTTCTTCAATGCCATATTCTGTGGCATTATCTGAGTCGAATTGCTTGTCCGTGGACGCCCTGAGCTTCATGGCTTCCAATGTGGAATCAACGTCCGTCGTGTTGCTGAGATCGTAGATGTACAAGCCTTCTTCATCTTCGTTGTCTTGTTCTTGTTCTGGGTGGTTGGAAGTGGACTCGTTGTCCGAGTCAGTGTCGGTGTCGGGGTTCGTGTCGGTGTCCGACTCAGCGTTCGTCTCCGTGTCGGTGTTCGTCTCGTTGTTCGTCTCCGTGGCAGCGTGGGTGTCCGATTCAGTGTCAATGTCCGATTCAGTGTCAGCTTCGGTGCCAGCGTCGTCGCCATCACGGGGGATCTTGGCGTCAGTCTCCTCTTTGGAATCCATTGTGGGAACAGAAAATGAATCGGTGCTGCCCATTGTGATGATTTCGTTGGGATTCATGGAGTTGGGTGGCATTTTGTGGTTGGTGGTGGTGGAACCAATGTACGGCACGGGTACCGTCGTCTCTGATGATGATTCCTTGGCACTTTGATCCTTGATATTGGAGTTTGTCATGTTCCGATGCTGGATTTGATCTTGTTTGGTTGTGCTGGACGTCTCATCGTCTTGGTCGAGGTCGTCGAGGTCAAGGTCGTTGACTTGCAACTGCAAATCCAGGTTAATGTCTTTCTTAATACCAAGGGTCAGAGTAGGGTCAGCCTTGGGGTCCGTCGCGGTAGCGGCAGCCCAGGCAGAGTCAAAAACATCCTTGTCCGTGTCTTCCTCGAGATCTTGTTGATCACTGAAAGGAACATTGGCAGTTTCAAACTCCTCTTCAAGTTCGTCATAAAGCTCATCTTGGTCTTGGCCTTCTTCATAATAGTTCGGGACATGGAGATCGGACTCCGAATCATAGATGGCGTCAGCGTCCGAGTCTGGATCCCAGATGGCGTCTTGGGGTGCCTCAACAATCACGGCTTTGTGATCAGTAGTAGTACCGGTACCGGTAGTAGTACCAGTAGTGGTACCAGTAGAATCATTGGGTACAGCAATGTCATCGTCTGCCTTTGTAAGATCCACAAAGAGGGAGAGTCCGAGCAGAAGGATGAGGGAGACGCAAGTCTTCGCCTTCATCTTGAAGATTTCTTTTGTTCTCTTCTTGTTCTGGTTATTCTTGTCTGTTTTGTTTTGGATCCTGGAGATCTCGACTCTCGACCAACGGAACCGGAACAGCAACAAGGAAACGGCAACAGCGCAACAGCAACGGCAGGCAATGGCAGGCAAAGCAAGAGCGACAGTCAACAACAACCCAGGCTCGAGGCTACGGTATGGTATGGTGTTGCATATATTATTATCTTTGTTGATTGAAAGGTTTGCTGAACGCAACGCAACAACAACAACAAAGGAGTGTGTGTGAACTCTCCCAGCGGGATATCCTGCCGAATCGCAAGGTCATCCATTGACAAGGTTGCATGAACGCGATCTTTCGAGTGGATGCAAGGATATCGGTCTAACGCTAACCCTTTAGAAACGGAACTAAGTCTTCTTTCAATGGTACCGGTACTGGTAACGTTTACTGAATGGTTAGCTTCGACCACACAGAGAAGGGTACAGTACTTTAAACGAGAAGGTTTACTCCAATCTTGTGTACTGGTAAATTTACCATTCGATTCTAATTGTTTCAATAAGGAGGCTTATTTTTAATATTTTTAAAAAGCCCCATTCGGCAAGAGACATGATCTTGGAAAATTGGAGGAGACGTCTCCTTAGAAGAAATAAAAGACATGTCTCCTTTTTATTTCAGACCTTGACTTCTAAGCTGGTTACGTTTAGTGTGTTTCTAAAGGAGATGTGCGCACATCTCCTTTACCTACTTGTGAACAAGGAGTTAAGAGACGGTCCAACTATAATGAGGTGAATTTGCGTTCCAAAGAGCTGGTACTAGTACTTTGAAAAAAGACATGGCAGAGACAGAGAATGGCCCAACGGAGAATCCAAGATCCAAAGCCCAATTGAACCATCGAATCGAATCGAATACTGGTGCCTGGTACCGGTAGGGACCCAGAATTCAGAGAATCTTCATTCATTCTACGTACAATCCGTGATTTCGTTGGAGAGGCGCGCGCCCTGCGTGGAAATTCAAAAGGACGGTGCTTCCTTGCGATTAAAAGGGCCGAAATCGTGGTTTACAGAAATTCTAATTTTTGAGTGTTCAATTTTGTATTTTGTGTTCCTCTTGATCTAGCTAGTGCTGGTACACGTAGCAATTTACAATAGAAGATTTGTTTCAAATATATACTGTATTATATTGGTTTCGATTTATCATTTTCTAAAGTTAAGCCAGCGGAGCTGTGTAACCTCGGCAGAAAGGTTTCTCTGTAGAAGCAGATACCCCTATTAGCTAGCAGATAGAGTAGACCGACCTTTCCGCGGATTATTCTCTTAAGAGGTGGATCTCGAATATTGTACTTCTAAGTAGCTGAATCGAAAGGGCACATGTTGTTGAGTATCCCATTAAATTCCCAAGATCAGAGCGTACTTATTGGTGGAGTTATGGTTGATTGAAAAAATCCTCACTTTTGTGACGAATTCTTTTTCTCTGCAGTTTAAGACTTTACAGTACTTAACTGTGTAGGATCCTACATAAGAGAGTCCTGTAAGATCCTACAGAACACTTAGGAAGCACCTCAATTGCTCTGGTACTGAAGCTACGTAGGATCCTACGCAAGAACCTCTATTAATTACATGGTCTTAATCTTCACCCGGTCTTAAAATGACTTTCACTCTACCTGTAGTGCTTAGCTAGTGCTTAACTTGTGCTTAGCTAGCTAGAAGCAAATTCCCCCTAGCTAGAAGCAGATTCCCATAGCAAGCTAGAAGCAAACACCCCTAGCTAGCTAGAATACTAGTTATATAGATTTCGCTGGCTTTAGAGTTTTTTCCCTGGTAGAAGCAGATCCCCCTACTAGGATGGATGTAAATAGCTTTAGCTGGTTTGCACCATCCTAGCTAGGATACTTATTTAGTTTTTGCTGACTTATTTGTATTCTAACCCTACCCCTATACCTGCAGGGACCACCCTACACATCTATTCAAAATCAAGGATTCGTCTTTTAAGGTCTGTCCGTCGTAGGCTCCCATTCGATTCATTGGAATGAATCTCATTCAACTCACCACCACTCAAAAAAAGACGTCACATGCCAACAAACTCACTCTGAACACCACTTTGTTACCATGACAAGAGCATTGACACATGTACTTTGTTGTTATAATAGAGCAGAGGTGCCCAGCACCACTCTCTGTTAGTGTAAGAATCGAAAAAGAGGCGACAGTCAACAGAAGCCGTCTTTAGATGGTTCCTACTCGGAGCAACAACTGCCGTCCTTCCGATGCTCCTTCCTCTACCAACAACAACAACTACTACTACTACTCCCTTGATTGCTGCGCTATTTTGCCTTGAAGTCAGTGCCTACTTCGGTAGGGGCAAGGCTCTTGGCAACAACAGCTAGCATTATGGTGAAGTACAATACAGTGTGTTTTTGTCCTCCCATTATCAACTCCTTGACCCAATACCACTACCGACCGACTACCACTACTGCTGCGCTATTTTGCCTTGAAGTCAGTGCCTACTTCGGTAGGGGCAAGACTCTTGGCAACAACAGCCAGCATTATCCTACCGACGCTACCGACGCCACTACCGACCGACTACCACCACCAACCAACCACAACCAAACTGACAGCTGTGTTTGACGCCGCCTTCGGGCTCTGCCGGAGGCTATGTCATTTTTTTCTCCTGTCGCATCGATCCAATCCACCGTCTTCAGTTTAATGGTTAACGGTTAACGAGTAGTTGCTGGTTTTTCATTATTGTTGCAGTGGCGGTGGCCGATGTTCTGATGTTGTTGTGTATCTGCTACGGTAGTACGTTTAGTGGTAGAAGTTCGGTCGATCTTCTATCGCGAGCTCAAATTTGGGCAACAATTCAAATCATTTCAATTTTTTAATGACGACTCCACTCGGATTTTGTCTGTGAAGAATGGAGCTTTGTGATGCGCTCCTGTCACACCTGTCACACTACTCATCGTGTACAATATTTTGCATTATGCCCTATGATTTCAAGACGAGTGAGGGGGGATCTTCTCAGCCTCTTGTCGTAGACCAACCCTCAACAATTTGCGTCCATTGGACGATCTTTCCGAGTACTTGACCAGGATCTCCAAGTGCATTGCCCATGCAACTCGAAAGGAGAGCAATGAATTTCTTGTTTGGTACTTTGACAACAGCAAGATGCTTGCCCCAGAACAGGCTTTGGAGCTTCACACATTCCTTTGCAATCTCAAGAATGTAGAGACAACCTACGTCTCAATGGATCGGCGCTGCCTGATTATCAAGACTACCCACAGCGAACAGCTTACAGTTATTCTGGCATGCAAGTACTCGAGGTTTCATGTTGAAACCACCCCTCAGAGAGTGGGGATGACAGCTGTTCTTGCTGAAATGACATCCCTCCCTTCGTTTCGTCAGACCGATGAGGCTGAAAGCAACTCGGACGCACCTTCTGTTATCGATCTAATATCTCCGACTCACAGTGTAGCAAACTCAGAGTTCACATTGGAAACGATGGAGTGAAAAACAACAGGCACCTGGCAGAAAACTCAATGAGTTGCCTATCTTTTGTCGACTCATCAGCTCAAAAGCTATTGACAGTCACTTGTTCCAGTAGTCTCTTGAACCATTTTATAGCCATACTCTTATTAAGCAGATTAAGCAGCCCGCATGAGATTCTAGAGCAACGATTGCAGTCCAAACTCGTATTTTTCCATGCTACTTTTAGAATTGGAAACTGTAGACTTGCAGTGTTGTAGTCTCCCATACAAAATGCCTACTATGTATAGTTGCTTGAGAAACTAGAAAACAACAATTATAGATTTGCCATTTCTCCATGGAGATCAATTGTTCGGACGCATATCTCGATTCGTAAAGGAAGATCGTACAGTCCGAGTCTAGTTTGTGACATACTCAGACTTGACTTTGAACACAGTGCCAATACCATCATCGCTGCCAAACGTCTTTCTCCAAGGGGCTGGAATGCGCCCACAAACGAGATAATTGTAATAGTCAAGCCACTCTTGCTTGACAATGGCTTGGTTTGTGTCAACATGAATGAGACCATCAGGCAGCACATTGTCCTGGCAGTGAGGAGGATTGTAGATTGGTGCCGTGTCATGTCGTCGTGAAAGATGAGTAACGTTGTATTTGTCGGAATTCCGCAGGTTGCGAGCTCCCGTCTTCCGGCCATCTTGCAGAGCAGTTCGTGTGGCCTGGTACTCGCTGTTCAGGTCAAGCGAAAAGCGCTGCACTGTCTTTTGAACCTTGCCTTCTGCTGCAATCATACTTCTCAAATGGGTGCTAATGGTTTGAGCTCTTGGGTGGGTTGCTTCAAAGCTCTCCTCATTCACAAGTCCAATAGTTCCATGCTCTTCGGCAAAGACAGTCAAGTGAGCAATTAAAGTATGCAGCTTGTTGAAAAGAGAATCCTTGCCTGGAATCATTGACACCCATTCTTCACCATATGCAACGGCGCTTTGCTTCAGATCATTAATCTCATCCATTGACAGCTTCGATTGTCGCTTCAGAATCGATGAAATCTTGAGGAGCAGCTTCGCAAGACGGCGCCAAAGTACCGTTACAGCCTCCATTCTTCCTGGAGATGGATCTCGTCTCGGTGTGCGTAGGCTTGTTCAATACGATTGGCAACAGCCTCATGCTTTGAAAGAACTTTGATGACGTTGGCGTTTGTCAGCTCCCAAGCCTGAGTGCTCTACATTGAACCGCACTCCTCCATCAACACAATAAGATTGATACAGCAAGTACGTTGCCTCACCGATAGGCTTCGATCCAGGGTCCTTGATGAATTTGTTGCCGTTGGAGGAGAGCTCTGTACCAGCCTTTAGCACGGCTGCCCAAGCAGCCATGCCAGACTGGATGGCATGTTGTTCTCGCTCCGCCAACAAATTCGAGGCTCTCTCCACCTGAGAGGGTACATTTGGCCACTTTGTTGCTGACTGGAGCTGCTTGTAGATGGCTCGATCCCGTTGGTGCATTTCCTTGAGCTTGTCTTTGATTACTGTTGTGTTGCTTGCGTCCTTCACAGCAGCTTTCATGTCACGAAACCAAGCTGATTTGTGATCGATCTGAGCAAGGAGACTGAACGTCCTCCTTGTCAAATGGGTCATCATTCCTTGACAAACATGCATCGATCCAGCAGTGTTCTGTAGTGGTGGTGTTAGTAGGAGGGGACGATGAACGACGCTCTTGGCTTTCGCTTTGATCTCCATCGATGCTGCCTGGGAATCCCCAGCAACTCTCAAGGCTCTTGCACCAGCAACTTCGATGAATCGCTCGTAGAGTTTGTTGTTGTTATTGTCGCCAACACGGAGAGTAGGAGCGACACCGTGTAGGCATTGATTGAATTGATCACTGGAGGCAATACAGATGTGTCGGAGACTAGTTTCTGCAACATTTGACCTGGATCCCGTGCAGATATCTCATTCTCGAAGCTGAGACACGCAAGTGGTTCCGTCTGTGTCGCAACAGATCTGGTTGGTACCCTGTCAGTCTGCGATGATACAGACAGGACAGGAGCTTTTTTGGAGGGGGATTTGAAGAGGATTCCTTTTCTAAAGTTTGGGGTTGTATATGAAAGAAGCCCTCTTTTTGGAGGTGGTGAGGGAAATGCAGGGGAAAACTCTGGATCATTGGTTTGATCCGTCAAAGGAAGCAGCTTATTAGGCGTCCCTGCCTTGTCATTCTTCTTTGCTCGGCGCTTGGACATGGTGAGCGTGTAACAACAAATGTGAATACATGCATCTTCCTCAGTTCCTCAGTTCTTGTCAGCCCTTCACTTGAAAGCGGCGGCAACAGATCCGATGATGCCCGGCGGAAACTCCACATAAAACATCAAAAATAGAGTTCATGCCAGAAGATGGCGCCATGGCCGAAACTCAACCACACTCCTCACTCACTCCGGAATCCACATCCTAACAACTAAGTCGCAAACAAGTAGCGGCAGTGCCAAATGAAGATCATCTTGTCTATAGCGAAAGGATGGGTTACTATGCTAAGATTCGTTGAATGAGGGTGGAAATAAGATAGATGATCAATTGTCAAAACTCATTATCCTGCACCTTAATGAGCGAATTTGCGGGAAAAGACCCTTCCAATGTGGTGTAGCGACGGCCAGACCTTAAAATAAGCCTGAACGGATGTGCCTAGCAGGAAAAACAATTAAAGGGGTTGAGGGCTCTGGCAGCAAGACTGCCAAGGTTTGTATAGTAAAGGTTCGAATTGGACTCGAATCTTTCTCTTTTATCGCAATCCTTGAATGCAGGATCTCTGTTCACTCTGAAGCTTTTTTAATATCGCATTCCTTGAATGCAGGATCTTTGAAGCTTTTAATTCGTACGGTGCGGTGCGCTGTGGTGCGGTGCGCAGGTACAAAAATCGTCAACGAAAATTCTCTGCAAAATACTAAATGAATGTCCACTGATATTTCTGAAGTAATACTAAAAGTGTTCAGGGGAAGGGTTCAGGAGAAGTGTTCGGGAGCAGTGTTTGAGAGAAGTGAAACCAAATTTGCAGAGGAATGCAATTCTCAGCTTGCCTATTGATTCGCACGGTGCGGTCTTCGCTCCCGTTGGAACAGTGGGTTGTTGTAGATTGTAGATGTGTGTGTGCTTGTCGGTTGGTCATCCGCCGACACAGTATAGTTGCCAATGGCTGGAGCTTCCTTGCTCGTCTCCTTGCGATTCATTTGCATGTACCGGTATTGCGGCACTCAGTCGACTGGAAGCACAAAAACCTTACGAAGCCCTGGTTGCTTGTGATGGGCCCGACGCGTACAAGCTGTTTGCACGGATCACTGAACTCAACCATTTTCCCGGGGGGGGGGGCAACACAGGATGTTGAGCTTCCCACCACAACTGTCTTGACGGAAACGCCTCATCTAAGGGACATCCTGTCGACTCACGTTTTGGCTCCTCGCGTACCGGAGATACTAGGAATAAGCAAGCCACCGCTCGTATTAGATACGTCTCTGGCTCCAAGCCACATCATGGTCTTACGGGCCAAGTCGAGCTTATCAAGGCGGAATCTTGGGATGGTTTACAGAGGGGACTTCGCCTACATTCCTGATACAGGTCCATTCGTCCATTCAATCTTGCCTTCAATGCGACCTCGAATCGGTCTGCCTTTGCTTACCCGCGCTATTACCGTAACAAGAGGTTGAAGTTGGCCCCGGCTGGTTCCTGTGGCGACGACTCCACTCGGAAGAGTGGCAGGCATCTCGCAATGATCTCGTTGTCGTCAAAACATATGCGACGTCAAGACACTCGAACGTGTTTGCAGCATTGGATTTCAGATGGCGACGATTCTGTGTCCACAGCATTGCTGTCGCCCGTCTTGGGTCCGACGAGTGAGCGCAACACATCTCGATTGTCAGACCCCATGCATTCGTTGGACAAAGAGCGTTACGTAATATGCCTACCGTATTCTGTTTTTGCTGGATTTGTCGTTTTGACGGTTGACACTGGCGCCTCCGATCCTTCCTTCCAAGACACAGCAAGCCTTCTTTGGGGATCCCCCGTCGGCTTCAGATTGGCTACTGTTGGTTGAAACACTTTTCGGATGATCACGTACCTTGGGACCAAAACGGCCCGAAATCAGAAATTTAAGAATCCAATTTTAAAAATTGATCAATTCCAAAACTAAATATAAAATCAAAACCGAAATATAAAACCGAAACCGAAATATAAAACCGAAACCGAAATACAAAACCGAAACCAAATTACTAAGGTAAATAGACTCTAAGGGCATTCTCTAGTAGATTTGTTCGTCCTAAAACTCGTTCTAAGTTTATTTTAGAACGAAATTTTAGGACAAAAGCAATCTTTAACTCGAAATCGTCCTAAAATTCGTTCTATTTTTAGGACGAATTTCTAAAACGAATAATTTTTTCGTCGTATTCCAATGAAATAGGACGAAATATTTCCACTCGTCGTAACACTCGTCCTAATATTTTCGTTAAGTCTTTGGGTCTTCTGTCTGTGATGACATCATCTCAAGACTGAGTTAACAAGACTGAGTCTCAATGCACAACTCACTCCTCGCTCCGCTTCGGGTACCGGTATGCCTGCTAGATAACTATCTACTAGCTAGCTAGCTAGCAAGTAGCCACACCATGGACCACGGAGGTGCTTTGTGGGAAGCCTCTAGCCACACTATCAGGACCACTTTAATAGGCTGATAGAGGAGAGGTGCTTACAGGACGAGTTTTAAGACCAGTGTTTTAGAGAATGAACTTGTCCTTGTCCTAAAACTCGTCCTACCTAAGTCTGGTTTTAGAACGAGTTTTTTAGAAATTGCCAATTCGTCCTAAAAATTCGTCCTAAGAGCACTGAATTTCTCGTCCTAAACTTAGGACGAGAAAATAGGACGAGAATGTGTAGAGAATGCCCTAACTACCTGGTAGTAAAATCAAGCCGAAACCTAAATATCAAATTGAAACCAGTAGTGTGAGTGACTCAGTCAGCACCACACAACTGCGTGAGTTTTCTGAGCGGTCTTCTGTTCCCTGTCCTCTGTCGAGTCAACTGCGTGGGTCAAATGTCGCTTTTATTGTCCATTATTTGTCATTTGCTTGTACGCTGCTGCCATACTGGCATAAGTTGCGGCAGTGTTGCCTGCCGCCGGCTGAACGTTTGCGTTGCCCTCCTCCTGCATCACATTGTCACTGCTGACAGCAACTGCTGCTGCTGTTGGTTGAGTAGTAGTTTGTTCTTGCCCAACAAGGTTATTGTTGTTATTGTTGTTGACTCGAAACTCTGGTTCAGGCAATCCTCGAATGCCAAATGGCATTTTGACGCGAAAGAGTCCTCCTCCATCGGGTTTTCGCGTGGTAATGAACAGTTCATCGAGATTGGGTCCTCCAAACGTACACGAAGTCGGTGATGATACCGGCAAATGAACGACAAAATCCATGTGCCCCGTGTCGGGATTGACCCTTACCACCCGATGCGCTCCACTCAATGCCATCCAAATACACCCGTCGGCATCGACTTGCGCTCCATCGGGACCACCGGGCCACTCACTGGGCATGGTCCAAATTTCTCGTCGATTCGTCAATACGGGATAATCAAACGCGTATACTTTGCGGGTGGGAGTATCACAAAAGAATATCGTGTCGCCACTAGCGGGGAAGCAAATGCAGTTGGAAACGCGATACTTGTAGTCGAGCAACGATTCCAATTGTAGATTGGCATCGAGTCGATAAAGTCCGCAGTTGTTTTCTCCCGCCGAGGATCCTTCCCGATGATAATTGTTGTACATGCCAAATACCATTCGTTGTTGTCGATCGACCCGTCCATCGTTGGGGCGGGTGGCTTGATCTTGTTCGGGTCGTTCACAGAGGAAATTGGTTGCAGTGCACGACGACGAGGAGGCAAAATCTCCACTGTCGGCTTTCATGGTCATTTTCATAAAGGCGGATTCGCCGGCAAGCAGCACCGCATGGGGCTCCCCTTCGAGCAATGCCGTACATCCCAGTGTCGTTCCAATCAGTCGTCGATAAGGAGGTTCATTACGATTGTGCTGATTGTTGTCGCCGTGATACTTCCAAGTCCACAGTTCTCCTTCGGGTGCTGAGATCCAGTAGAGTGCTTGATCCCGCACGGACCAAACGGGGGATTCTCCCAGGACATTGGCACAGGGCACCACTTCGGTGGCGGTCAATTCAACGGGAGGTGGTGCATACGCACTACTAGTAGCACTAGCAGCCCTTATTCCTCCATCGACAATCCGCGTAAAAGAATCGGCCGTCAGAGACGCTCCTCCTACGAGGGCTCCATCGACATCGGGTTGTGCCATGAGGGCATCAATATTGTCAGGCGTGACACTTCCACCGTATTGAATGCGGACACCTTGTGCTACATGCGAGCCATAAAGTGCCGTCAATGTGGCTCTCACGGCCTCGTGTGCCGCTTGAGCTTGACTGGGAGTGGCAGTTTTTCCCGTTCCAATGGCCCAAACGGGTTCGTACGCCACCACAATGCGTTCCAGGACGTCTTGACTTGACACTCCCACGAGTGCCTTTTTGAGCTGGACATCGACCACGGACGCCAGCAGATTGGTTTCATACTCTTGCAGTGTTTCTCCGACACAGAGAATGACTTGCAGGCCTCGTTGTGCCAAACACAATTGGAGTTTGTTATTGACCGCCGTGTCGGATTCTCCAAACAGCGTGCGTCGTTCGGAATGTCCCAACATGACATATGTGACACCCATGGATTGAATCATGGAGGGTGCCACTTCTCCGGTAAATGCTCCCTGTTCGTGAGTCCCAATCGTCTGACAGCCCACTTGAATGCCCGTGCCTTGCAATTCTTGCACGGCAACACCCAAGAATGGAAATGGAGGAAAGACCACCACTTCCGTGGCACTACTGGCATCTCGATGATTTTCAAAGTTGGCCTTGAGCAGACGTAGCAGAGTGGTAGCTTCCGTGAGCGTGGCTGGATTCAGCTTCCAATTCCCAGCCACGATGGAACGGCGTGGTTGTACTGGTGGGGCATTGCTCTGGTGGTCATCAGGAGAAAAGAAAAGAGCAGTCCTGCTCTTGCTGATGAGTGGACTGACACTGACTGTCCTTGTCCTGTGGAGCGAGAAGGAGTCCACAGTGTGAAAACTCAAACTCAAGCTGAAGCTGGTCAGTGCCAAAAAGAGGGAGAAAAGAGTCATGGTAGCAAGGATGCAGCTTTCCTGATCTAGCTATGATAGCTATGAATATGTAGCTGAGAGATCTTCTAGAGATAACCAAAAGGCGTCACACCCTGTCAGGAGGCAAGTGTGGCCGGTGAGCAGACTTGACTGTGGGAAACACGCGGGCCTTGGCTCGTTGGTCGTCCTCAAGCACTTTTTATCGGAATCCGTTTTAATTAAAATAGACGCTCAATTTTTTTAGGGATCAATGAAGACCAAACATATAATGAGCCTACTAGTAGCTAGCTAGCTACCTTCTAAAGATGGATAGTGCCAATGGATTCATTCGTTGCCATTCAAGCTGATGCCAATGGCTTGTCCCTCTCCAAAGATGTGGATCCAGGTCCAGTTTGATGGCTCATTCGTTCATTCTTTCTCGACATTGGCATCACTGACGTACGCCATGTTGTCAGAGCAAATGTGCGATAGTCAGGGAAGAATAAAACAGGACTAACCCTTCGTGACCCAACTTTCGCAGATGGCCGCCCGGCTTGATCTTGTGCCGTGGTTGTTGTTGTGGTTGCATTGATGCCATTTCCAGTTCGCCTTTTTCATCTCTCTCTCCATTATTGTTATTGCGGCCTTTTGGAGACCAAAGAAGAAGGTGTGGCAAAATAAAATAAAATCACCAACGGACGCTCATCCATCCAGTATTATAGAGACACAGAGGTAAGCGTGTGGTCTGTCTGATGTTGACGGTCTTGAACTGTGGTGAAGTCCATGAATGATCTGACAGACAGAGAGAGAGAAGGTGAGATGAGAGAGAAGAATGGTTGGTCCCCGTAGGATCCTACAGGATTTACCTACTGCAATTTGCGTCGAAACCAGTGACTCGACCAAACTCACGCAAATCACCGCATAAAAAGAGCCTTCCACTCTTCTCTCTCATTCCCATGGTCTCACTCATCACTCTCTCACTCCACTGACGTCGTGTCGGCGCTCATCTCATGCCAGAAAGCCGTCGTCGTCGCCATTGTTATCTGTTCCAACAAACTCATGACTCGCTTTTCCTTTACTCACGTTTCTCCAGAAAGTTCTTGATCTCCGGGAACCATTCAGGACGGGACTACTTCATCCGCCACTCTTGAAACAAGCGAGGAACCACGCCGAGGAAACATTGCGAGAGGTTGAACTTTCTGCCTTACGCTTACTTGTGTGCATCGATCGTTGTCACCACCATAACCAATCCATACGGTAGTCAGTCAGTGCAGTGCAGTCACCAGCCATTCAATTCACAATGGGAGGCTCTAATTTCCGTCGTCGCGAGAAGAAATTCTCCAAAAAGATGCAACGCACTTTGGATCCGGCCATGTTGCTTTCAAGAGGTCTATCGGCGCGATTTGTCGGTGCCAATGTCATGCAATCCATTACCACGCTCACCAAGGACGAGATTGAAAAGGATCTACGACATATGAACGCCTACTATCAAGCCAATGTCGCCTATGCACAGCAACATTACATTTACATGAACCGAGAAGAATTGGGAGCCACGGGACAGTTACCTGGTGGCGGCACCGCCAACAGTAACAACAACAACAACAACAACATGGCACCCTTGACCAATAACATGACGGCCAATATTGCCGTACCACCCATTGCCATGCCCGTACGAATCGATCCGGAAGAAGAAAAACGATTGCAAAACTTGCGCAAGAAAATTGCACTTTGCGAAACCCAACGGGAATTCCTCGAAAGTCAATACGTTAGTTTGCGCGCGCATTATGTTGCCACCACCAAGGAACTCAAGGCGGCGTCCAAGAATTGCGAAGGTTTGGTCGCGTTCCTGCAGACGGTCACCAAACGTCGGGGGCGAGTGCTGGCATTGCAGCGTGCCAAATTGCAGATTGCCAGGGATGTCTTGGCATGCCTCCAAACGCGACTGGCCGTCTTGGAAGTGGCGCAAGCGGCCAATGGTGGTGCGGATGCTGCTGCTACGGCTGCGGCTGTTACAAGCAATAACAACAGTGACAACCACAGCAAAACGGAGGGTACAGACACCACGACGGCAACCAAAATGGAGATTGACAGTCCAGCGACGACAAAAGAAGACAAGACCAAAAACAACGGGACAACGGCAACCGCCACATCCGGCGGAGAGGATGACATTGTGGAAGTTTGGAATCAAGTCGAAGAAATGCTCAAGGAAGCCGAGTTGTCCTGTCGCAGGATTCCATCCACACTCACAATCAATGAGAAAAAGGCCAAAAAGAAGGCCAAGAAGAATGCGCCACCGGCCGAAGGGGAAGACGAAGCTATCATGGGGGTGATTCCTTGGGAGGGCATTAAAATGCCCAACACCCCCGAAGGAGTCCCACTGTTTCTCTCGCAACTCTCCATCGTCCCCGAGAAGGGAGCTGGGTACAGTAAGAATGCCTTGCTTGTGTATTGGTTGTGTGGATTTTTATTTTTGGCTTTGCGTTGATGCTCACTTGCAGGTACCTTTTGCTCCGTCTTCTCGCTCGATCCTTTGCTACACTACTATACAACACGTCTAACTAGGCACCAATGGCGCCTTTGGCAGCAACAAGGCCAGCATGGCCTGGATGGAATCGAGTCTGCCCAAGACATACAATGGCAAGAAGGAACGACACAAGGTAGCACTGTTGCGGGACGAAGTAGCTTTGTTGGAAGAAGAACTGTCCAACGAACGAGCTGCCAACAAGGATATTCAAGTCAAGATAATCGATCGTCGCAAACGAAGTGATGAACTGGTGGCCATGATGACATTGCTGCGCAGCGAAACCGAGGCCATCTTGCAACGGAATAACATTCTGTTGGATTCTCCACAAGCCAAGCAAGCGGCTCGTGAGTTGCACGAGGTGTTGATGAAGGCACGAGAGGAAGCCGCCAAGGCGGCCGAGGCTGCCAATGCCGCTAACGGCGAAGCTGGTGGTGCCGCCGCCGACGACGGCAAGAACACTGGTAGTCGCAACCATACAAACAGCAACAAGCCATCCCCCGAAGGGAAGGAAAAGTCTCGAAGTAGTGCTCGGCACAGCAGCAGCATCAAAAACGGCGACGACGACGGTGGTGGGAGTGTGGGTGATGACGAAGGCGATGGCGGCGACGACTTTGAGGAAGAAGGCGAGGTCAAGGGCTCTGGTGGAAATTGGGGCGGAAACAAACGCGACTTGGACGAGGGCACGGGTGATGAGTCCTCGCCAAGTAGTACGAGTCGAAAGCGTCGCAAGGTGTGAGCTACCGCACATGCAGTGAGCCTTGCTTGGTTAAGTTTGCTGCATCTTGGATGATCGTTACCAGTAGTATCAATAATAGACAGTTGCGTTTTGAAAGCATTTTGTTTGTTTCGTGTACGAGTAGATTGAGTGTAGCAGTCTTTTTTAAAGTTGCTGTGTTGCCAGCTGCCAAATGGGTGGATTGTCGCAGGGATCATGGGGGTCCAGAGTTCGCATGGGCCTTGCATGATATTTGGAAGGTTCTGTCCGTTTCTCAGCACACAAAACTTTGAGCTGATCTTGGCTTAGCTGTGTAATGCTTCTCAACGACGAATAAAAGAAGAAATAGAAATTTTAATTATCGACACCTACATTCACTGCATGTACATTCCACAGGAAACGGATCTCGATCACAATCAACCGTTATTGTCAAACCTGAGTTAGAACAAAGACTGCTAGGCACACTGCCACTCAACTGGTTGTCATACAAAGACAACCAAGTCAATGCAGTCATCAATCCAATCTCCAAAGGAATGGTTCCACTCAACTGGTTGTCCCTCAAAGACAACCGAGTCAATGTGGTCAACAATCCTACCTCAGAAGGAATGACCCCGCTTAACTGGAGCTCAGACAAACGGAAATAACTCAACACAGTCAACAACACTATTTCAGGTGGAATGCTTCCGCTCAACAGGTTGTCACTCCAATCCAGAAGAGTCAAGGCAGTCATGTATCCAATCTCAGAAGGAATGATTCCGGTCAACTGGTTGAGGAACAAGCGCAAAGAAGTCAACACAGTCAATAATCCAATTTCAGATGGAATGCTTCCGCTCAACTGGTTGTCAAACAAAGACAACGAAGTCAATTCGGTCAATAATCCAATCTCAGAAGGAATGCTTCCGCTGAACTGATTGTCTCTCAAAGAAAACCTATTCAATGAGGTCAACAATCCAATCTCAGTTGGAATGGTTCCGCTGAACTGGTTCGCAGACAAACGCAAAGAAGTCAACCCAGTCAATAATACAATTTCAGATGGAATGATTCCGCTCAATCGGTTGTCTCTCAAAGACAACTCAGTAGATGAGCTCAACAATCCAATCTCCGACGGAATCCTTCCGCTCAACTGGTTCCCAGACAAAGACAGCTCAGTAAACGAGCTCAACAATTTAAGCTCAGATGGAATGGTCCCGGTCAACTGGTTGGCGAACAACCACAACTGCTTCAAAGCAGTCATCAATCCAATCTCAATGGGAATGGTTCCAGTCAACGTGTTGTTATTCAAGTCTAGAAGAGTCAATGCAGTCATCAATCCAATCTCACTTGGAAGCTCACCCACCAATTGGTTGTCACTCCAGTCAAGAAGAGTCAAGGCAGTCAAGAATCCAACCTCGGTCGGAATGCTTCCAGTGAGACCTGCCTCATCTCGATCAATCCATGTCGTGCTTACAACATCATAGGTCACACCAAAGAGCACAACTGGCTCTGGTGGCGTTATGGTAGGTTGACTTGTGGTCGGACTGGGAGAGGGGGGATTAGTAGTTGGATTGGGAGTGGGCTGTTTGGTAGTTGGTTGCGCTGTTGGGTCAAGAGTTGGCATATTGGATGGAGGATTGGTCGGTGAGTTTGTTGAAGGAGCCATGGTGGGGTTACTGGTAGAGGGTTGCTTGGTTGGAATTGTCGATGGGCTAATGGTGGGATTCGTGGTTGGGTTGGAAGTGGGCTGTTTGGTAGTTGGTTGCGCTGTTGGGTCAGGAGTTGGCCTCTTGGATGGAGGATTGGTTGGTGAGCTTGTTGAAGGAGCCATGGTGGGGATATTGGTAGAAGGCAGCTTGGTTGGATTTGTCGATGGGCTACTGGTGGGTTTAGTGGTTGGCAAGTTGCTTGGTTGTGATGAAGGGATGCTACTGGGGTTGTCACTAGCTGTCTTTGTTGGATTTGTGGATGGCAAAAATGAGGGGTTGTTGCTGGGATCAACACTAGGACTACTGGTTGTAGGATCCATAGATGGAATGGTTGTAGGATTCAATATACTAGGCTGAGGAGATGGGCTCAAGGATTGCCATGCTGAGGGACGAAGAAATGATGGCAATGTAGAGAGGTTCTGTATTGGTTGCTGTGATGGGAGAAATGTCATAGTCTGTGGTGACATGGGCATGGGAACATTAGGCACATCACCGGATGCTGATGCAGTTACAGGCTCGTTATTTGAGGAAGGAGTACAAAGTCCAGATCCACAAAGAATTCCTGTGATTGCTATTGCTGCCAGTGCTATAACAATAACAGCACAGAGCCATCTCCCACCAGCAGTGCTTGTATCTGGCAGGCAATTCCTGGAGGGATCAACAACATGGGCACTAACAGGTTCAATTTCAGACTCTACTAATTGGGCACTGGCCAAAATAGTACCACGGCTGTTGGTACCGGTACCGGCAGCGGTAGTAGTAGAGGAAGGAGCGATAGTGTTGGTGCCAATGCCCAAACTGTAGGGAATCGAGGGAGCCTCTTCATTTGAGATAGCAGCTTGTGGTGGTGATGGAGATGACGGGGGCTGATGCGGGATATTTTGTAGGTCTTGGTTTTGTGAGACAGCTGCTGGCTTCAGTATGATATCTGTGGAACCCACAGCCGATCCTTTTATATGATGCAAATCTGGCGGGAGCCACGCAGGGTGCCTATCACTAGGGGATGAGCTCCTTGAGGTGGTTTGACGCACATTAGTTGGATCATTTTGATCAGCAGTGGTCTGCGTCAAAGAAGTGCCTGGTGGTGATGGTGGCGGTGATGATGCTTTTGTGTCCATCTCATCTTGCTGAGGTGGCATCGGCGCCAGTACATGCGCTGGTTCGACCTCAGGTTGTGCTTGATAATTTTTTGGTCTTCTGAGTCCATACTTGGCTGCAGTTGCCGATGTGGCTCCTTTGGCTACCGCTCGAACTTCTTGTTCTTGTTGCTGATTAGCCGCCTTGCCGAGAATGTTCTTATTGGCCGTTGGTTGACGATTGCGCAAGCCCTTTGTGGGCAGAGGTGATGGTTCTGGTTCTTCAACTTTTCTTTCTTCTCCCTGACCACCAGAACGCGTCCTACTCCTTGCAACAATGGGAGCATTTCCAATTTCACCTACCACTTCTAGTACTGAGATGTGAGGTGTGTTGGTGGCAGTGGAAGTTTCTTGATGGGCAATCGGGGTAGCTGAAGCCACAGGAATGTAATCTTGAGTAGCATGAGAGCCGTCGGGATCCATTGTTGTGCGAGAAATTGGAATTCAATCTGTCGTTGCTCTGTTGAACAGCTTTGTCTTTGGGTGGGTAGTTTAATAGCTAGCCACCAGCTATGATCGGTAGAAGTAACCTAACGTCGGCGTTCAAAGACAGACTTGTTCTGTGGTTGCTCGAGACGCCGTCCTTTACGAAGTATCAGATAGCGAGCTTGGCGATCAACGACAACACGACAACAGCCAACAAACCGAATAGTACTAGCTTGTAGTACCGGTATACTTATTAGTAGGTTGATCGAGTGTTCTGGCTAGTGTTCTTGATTTCAGATGATGGGCTCGATGAGTGATAAAATTCAAGGGAGGCAACAACAACACTCAATTTATAGTTGGTACCGGTACTGGTACTACGGTTCTGGAAGTTGTGTCATGGGATGGTGTCATGGTCCTCCTGCATTCTTTTCAGATGAACATGTTCTTCTTACGCGCGGCTGGTACTCGTACCGACGAATACGGCGACGTTGTGCTCTATGTTTCTGTTGAAAAGAAGTCACTCGACGATTAAATGTATCCATATGCATAAACAAAGTTGGAAAAGAGGCAACTTCAACACCGTCTCACCGTACCGGTACAGTGCAAACGAACAAACGAACTGGTGCATTTTCGTAGTGTACCACATGACACCGTCACGACCACCGAACCATTTGATATAAGCCGCTTGAACTGGTCAAACGTGATCATCATGCGGCTAGCTAGTCTACATGTACTAATTGTACCAAGTTGGTTATTGTGGTTGATGCATCTTGCTCAGATGTAATGTATGTATTGGTTGACTATACACGACACGTACATGTAGAAAAACAAATACTAAATAGATACGTTATTAAGGAGCGAGGGGGGAGAAGCTAGGCAGAGCAGTTGCTGCGGCGGTAGGTGGCTGTGGTGGGCGGGGCGTACGGGGAGAGCAATGAGGACGGGAGCAGGGCAAAGGGGGGGCACCAGGAAAGTGGGGTGCATGGAGGAAAACCAGGAAGGAGAAGGGAGCAAAATTAGCGGAAGAGTGCAAGTGCACCATCGACATCCCAGAGAGAACGACGGTAGCTCATTGTGCCAGGTACATGTACATGTAGGTAGCGAGTACTCTCTATGGCTGATACTAGCTAGCTAGCAACAGGCCACATTTATTTTTGTATGAATGAATGATGAATCCCTGTACCGTACCGGTAATGTTCACTAACTGTTTCTTGGATGGTTGCGTTGAAAGCATGGAGTAGTGTGCTTTCGATTCGTGCCAATAAAGATCGAGTGATCGGATCATTTATTTGATTCGATTTGATTCGATTCCGCAATGTATGTACAACGGATGAGAGGGAAACTTCCACTGTCTACTAGCTAGCTTGTCGACATATACAAAGTATTCAAGTGAATAAGAGACTGCCTACTTTTTTGTGCTCGTGTTGCTATGAATACTGGCACAGTAAGCTACAGTACATTACATGTACTAGCTAGTATCCCATTCGAGGCGAACGCACTATTACTCTCTTCGAGCAGCGCATTCGATTCGGTGGTGTAGCTTGGATCAAGTGAGCGACATGATTTCTGTTGGTCGTTTGATCGGATTGTTGTATACCTGTTCCATAACGCTCTTTGGCGAAGGTTTGTCTCCTTAGCATCTTGCATCTTCTACTAGGAATGAAGTAACGTTACGAAAGAAGTTGTATTAATGCTCGAGAGTGTCAGGGTGGGACAAGAATGAGGTGCCGCGCTACTTTTACTTAGGTGAATTGCATTTTTCAAACCTTGGAAGCCTCATCCGTTTACTCTTGGCCATGGCAGTGACGGTGCGCTGGAGCAAAGTGAAGGTGAACGAAAACCGACAACAGCACAACAGCACAACAGCACAGCAACCAAGTCAAGTCATACGACGATCCGATAGACATAGACATACATAGTCTACTAGCTAGCACCCCGCGGATCAGCGACAATACCGCAGCTAGAGTAGCGAGAACATCGGCAGTTCAAGTCAGTTGAGAAGAGAGGAGAAGAGAGGAATGTAAAAAACAGACGCAGCAATTCACTCACAAAAAGAAAAATCAGAACAAGAAAATCAGAACAAAATCAGAAAATCAAAATGACTGCCTTACATCATCATCATGTCCTAGTCCGAGCACTACTGCTACTGCTGCTAGTATGTTCTATTAATATCAGTGTGGTAAATGGCTTTGACTTTGTCTTGTCGCCAGCCATGAATTTGGGTTCCGACTACCAGATTCGTTTGGTAGATGTCACTACCAATGTACAGGATATTCCAACGCTGTTCCAAATGGCCAATGCGTCGGTTCACATGGATGGACTCCAGTGGCAGAGTGGTCTATCTTATAACACGGATGAAGACGATCGTCAAACGGCGCGACTGATTTCGCAAGTCTATATTCAAGATGAAATCGCCTTGACATCGTCACTCGATTTGAGTCCACCAGGTCTAGTACCACCTTCTACCGTCGAACTGGGATATCTACAAGTGGAACCCATGGGACGCATCAATCTCACGGTAACACTCCAAGTCGTCTACGATTCCTACAACAACTCTACTACAAAGAGTCAACAAACCAGTCCCATCATTTCCACACAACGCTACTACCAAGTCTACTGGCCCATCCTCACCATGGTCCCAGTACTGGTACTTGTGGGATTCTCCTATCTCACGGGAAATGTCGAAATTTCCATTTCTACCGCCAACATGGTCTCGGTCATTATTGCCCAAGGAGACTTTTTCAGAGGCATGGAGCACCTTGTGTATGTGGGATTTCTAGGAGCGCTGACGCATCATTACAATGGTGTAATCATGCTCCTCGTCTTTTTTCTGTCGGGAATCATGAGTTTGATTGAAGTCACGGGAGGTGCCAAAGGATGGGTTCGATTGGCTGCACGATTTATTTCGACGACGCGAGTCGTTCAGTGTTTGACCTATTTCATGGCACTCGGCTACTTTTGGGACGATGTGTTGTCCATCCTCGTAGTGGGACATTTAATGCGACCCCTGCTCGATGTCGCTCATACATCGCGACCATTGGGTGCCATGATTCTCGATGCTACCGCTGGAAACATGGCCGGAATTGTTCTCATCTCCACCTGGCTCGTTTGGGAAATTCCACTCTTACAACAAGAATTGAGTCGCATTGATGCTCTCAACGAATCCAGTGGCAATGTCATTCCCGCACTCCAAATGACACCTTGGCAGGTTCTTCAAGAATCACTCCGGTATGCCTTTTATCCCATTCTCTATGTCATTCTCATGCCATTACTACTTTGGAGTCAACGACACATGGGACAAATACTCATGTACGAACGAATCACACAAGTCTATCAGTCCAAAAAGGGAGGCCCCAAGGATATTCGAGGACCTTGTCAACCCAACATGACACCCCCCAAAGGAGTACCCTGTCGATTCTGGAATGCACTCTTTCCCTTCTCGATGATTACCATATTGTTTATTGTATTTTGGTTTCAAGCTGGACAACGGGGAGCTCAAGAACGATTAGAAGTTGATATTCCCGAACAAGAAGAATGGATTGTGGCGGCATATGCGTATGCGCTCACACCAAAGGCGTGGTTGCAGGGAATTAGTATGGGAGCCTTTTTCTTTGTCATTTCCATCATGTTACAGTTTCAACAAGCTGGGAATATTCTCTTTTTGCCAGTCAGTCTCAGATTGCTCTGGAGGCAACACAAACTTCGACAACAACAAGAAGAAAACAACAACAATGCGTCCTCCAACAAACTAGTAGCAGCATCCGAAGAAGAGGAAGAAGTAGACACGAATAATGAAATACTCGTCAATACGGCGACCAGCGCCGATGATGAAATCATCACCACAACAGACGGCAGCAGCAACAACAACAAACAACTCTTGATTCTCCCGCCGGCCAAACCACTTCTGACACCCATGGATCTCATTGCCAGTTTCTTTTTTGGATTTGGACGCATCATGCCATACATGATCCAATTCATACTCGCATGGGCACTACGAACATCTTTTACCGAAATGGGACTCGATCGATGGTTTGCATCCATGCTCGGGGATCAATTGGATACACTCCAAACCAGCTACATTCCCATTGCCGCATTCATGACGGCATTTCTCATGTCATTGGCCACCGGAGGAGCTGCTCGAGGAGAAGTCGCATCCATCCTCCTTCCCATGATTGTCGTGCCCGTCTACGAACGAACCTACAATTCTACCGATGCCGACGATATGATCTTTCAAGTCATTGGAGCCGTCTTGTCGGGGTGCATTGCCGGAGATCATGCCGCACCACTGTCCAATACCACACTTCTCTCTTGTGTCGCCAGTGATTGTCATGTTTTGGTGCATGTCATTACGCAGATACCGTATGTGATCGTCGTCTTGATGTTGAGTCTCCTGCTCGGAACAGGACCCGTCGGATATGGAATTTATCCCGTCGGTGCTGGATACTTTTTGGGTGTCGTCTGCTTGCTGTTCTTTGTCTTTTTCATTTGTTATCCCATTTTGGATCCCAGTGGACAGTGGGATATTTTTACACGATTGTACATTCGATGTTGTGTCAATCGACGACGCAACAGAAAGAACAATCAAGGCAGCAACGATGAAGAAGATCCACTGAACGGCGGCGAGGACGACGACGACGACAGCAACTTTTGGGAAATACTCCAGCGAGACACGATTCGGGCGGCCAATGCCATTGCTCATGGACTGCCCTACGAAACCGAAGATTGCCGTCATCTCATGCAACCCATTGACAGTGCCATTACCAAAGACGACGAAAACGACAACGCAGGACGAACGAGCAGTAGTTGTGAAGATGATAGTGATGTCGCGGGGGACGAGGAACCACCGCAACTTGAACAACAAGTGGTGGAAGAAACGGGAATGCCGCCGCCACAACCAGCAGGCAGACAGCAGTCAATCGAGGACCATCGCAATGCAGGAAGACCCGTTCGAATCATTGCATCCGATGCGAGAGGAGGTCCAGCTCCTGCAATCACGACGGCCTTGCCTACAGCTACCATGAGCTAGCCCTGCCTGTTGCAGCGGTGTGGGGTAGTGACTCCTCATCATTTGGCTAGCTAGCTAGCTAGTTATGCGTAAAATTATATAAAAAGAAACTTGAATCAACTTGAAAGTCATACATGTGCCTTCTACGAAATGCAACGAGACAGCCATTCAAGCCAAGGAGAAAGAGCAAAAGTGAGAATGGTTTTATTTCAGCAACCAAGAAAATACCCAACAGAGCTACCACTCTCTTTTTGATTTTTGTGGCGGAAGCAACCTAGCATACGCCATCCATGGTGCATGCCCTTGTGGTCAGCCATGCTTGAAAGACAAGTGGCCAGTCTTGTTCCTGGGTCACAGGTGCATGCCGTTGTCTTCCAGCCTTTTCTCACAACCCAACAGAAGAGTTGCTGACAAAAGGAACAATGAAGTCAATACAACGTATTGACAGACAGCTGATACAGTGTACTTGGATTAGTTTACCGGACTCACAACCCCCTCCTCAACCCAAAAGGAATACGGTTCCATCAAATTTGACCTCAAGCCCCGCGCCACAGTAGCCCCACTCCTCCACGACGGGCAACACGCCACAGCTGGCACCCCCACGGGGCAACACGCCGCAAACCCATCTGGCACCCCCACGGCCGGGGAAACACGCCACAGCTGGCGCCCCCACAGGGAAACAAGCCAACGACCTCGACGAGGCAGGAGACCCCCCGGGTCCACTTTACTGAGTCAATTTCCCACGAGATCTGGAATGCCACGTTCCGACTCCACCCCCTCTTGGTGCACAGTTAGGTACCACCCAAATCAACCCTGCATATCTTGAAATGCTGACCCTCACCAAAGCCAGTCGCTTCACCTGTGACGTCGATATCAAACGCTAGGTGAGTCCACACGGACAAAGGCAAGAGGAAGCGCCAATGTGGAAGGGCCGCCGGTGGATGGAGCCATTGTGAAGGAAGAGAGGGTAAGTGTTCAAAAGACGTAGAAACTTGCGGTACAGGCAGCTTCGATTTTATTGATTCAAACGCACGCCACTCTTTTCAGTACACTTCTACACGAGCTCTCGTAGAACTGTAGCAGACATGCCAGCACCCGTTTGAATCAATAAAATCGAAGCTGCTCGTAGTACTGTACTATTATTCATATTGGTGGGCTCTAAAACGCAGCCGCTTGGCGAGAGAGCGAGCCACTCACAGTTCCATTCAGACTGTGAGTGACGAGTCATTCAGTCACATTGACGCAAGCCTGATTGACGGGCTAGGGTTACAACGCTAACGCACCGCTGCTACAAATAGGGTGTGATCGTACGGGTATGGCTACAATAAGTTTCATGTTTCGAAGACGACCCAAAAAGGTTACATCGGGAGACCGAGCGAAGCTGTGCATCATTGTTGCTTTCGCATACGAAGTTGAAGGCACGGGACTGGCTTTTGGTGTAATGTGGCATTCCGTCGCACTACATAATATTTTAAGCTACTAATCATTGTGTGAAACTGAAACATAATCCATCTATATGCCCTGTATGTTCTGCTCTAGTCGCCGCGTTGTAATCTCCCGTTACTTCTACTGGTGCAAGTGGTTTAATAAAATCAAAGTCTTTCTTTTACTCTAAACAGATGGCTCCAGCAAAAATGAGACCTGACTCTTCTGGGGCAAGTAGCGGGAGGTTTGGGACAGTGAATGTGCATTGTTGGATGCGTCTGTCAAAAGTGCTGGCTCTGTCAAAAGTGCTAGATCTGGCAATCATGGCTGGCTTTGGGAGGTCAGGAGAGCAGTGAACAGAAGGGCTAGCCATCATGTGATGAGTCGAGCTTCCCAAATCAATGAGCACAGCAGAACCTTCAAGTTCAAGCATCGGTGGAATGAATGTGAATCCTTCCATTCTTTGGGTAAACGTATCATCTGTGGTCAGTCTATTGAGATTGGGTCTGCCTAAAGTTGGAGTGCATTTGATATTGGAGGTGGAATCTGGAATGGGAGATACAAATTGGGCAGATGCAATGGAGGGAGTGGACACTGTGTCATTTTCAGTGACAGGAGTGGAGGGTGGTGATTGGTCTTTGCCAAGCTTCTTGGAGTCTCTGATAGCTTGTGCCGTTTTCTCCGCAGCCTTTGCATCTCCAATCTCGTACCAGAGCTGTGTGTTTACATCCTTGGAGAGGAATCTTCCAGGAGGATTGAGAGATCGGACAGCCTTGACAATTTGCTCAGCAATGAGAGGCCGTTGATTGCGAGGTAGGGATGTGTACTTCTCTTGGTTGTTGCGAATCAATTCACGCCATCTCTTGTTACCAGGGTGCTTTGTGATACCAGCTCCCCTGCCGCAAAGAACATCATGTGCAGCAGGATCGACACGCTTGTTTGTCTTGCTCTTTTTGTTGCGTGTTGGATGAGCGGCAAGGTGCTGTCCGGCTACGCTGGCGCCTGCGGTGTCGTTGCTGGCCTTCCTCTTCCGGCTGACCTCGCCGCTTTGCTTCACAGGTACATCAGTCATGAAGACGTCCAACGACTCCGGTATTTGGGAGGCTTCCCCGACCTCCTCTAATAACGCCTTCCTACCGTGGGCTGAGTCAACCGACAAGAACACACGACACCAGGACGAGTTTCGGCTCAACTTGATGGTTTCGTTGGTTTGCGTGCAGCCCATTGTTTTGAATTGATTCATCGTTCTGCCTCCTTTCTTGTTGGAGTGTGATTAAGAATGGTTTCTGTGTGGACTAAATTATGTGGTTTTGGAAGGGATACATATATGTAAAAGCATGGACCAGAAACAAGATCAGATGAAGATTTCAGACGGGTTTTCTGAAGACGGGGAACCAGTCGCTGGTTTTTTGAATCCTGCAGCCGCGCCATCAAACACAGCTTTACCTCTAGATTTACCTTAACTACCTGTTGTTAGTTATTAATACTCTTAAAGGGTCAGAAGGAATAATCCGGAAGTTGGGTAACTTGGAATTGAACCGAATGTCATTGCCGTATCACCAGTAGGGGGGTTTAGAGAGGGAAATTATCTCTGGCTACTGGTAGTTTCGCCTCCAAAGTATCATTCAATCAATCAATCAATCATCACGGATATCCATCATGTCTCGGATCCTCTGCTTCAATTTCCCTCCTCCAATGTCATCCGACAGGGAAAAGTACTCTTCGATAACACTGGGGGATGCCAATATAGGTGATTTGTGTAGCATGCGACGATACGCCCGTTGGCTGGATTGGAGTCGAGCTAGTTGCTGGAGTGCCGGCTGTGGATTGTCAATATCGTAAAAGACAAAGCTGTCCTTGTGAAAGATATCAAATATTTCCGTGGTTCCATAGTAAATGGGGATGCATCCCCCCAAAAAGGCATTGAGGATTTTTTCGGTAATATATCCCGGGTAGTTCTTGTTTTCCATGACGAGACAGAACGTGTAGTTGTGAAACAGAGCATCGTTGGTAAAAGGGCCACCGTTGGCGTCTTGGTCGTCCTTTCGGGTGTGTTTGACCGTGTTCTCGACCTCCTCGAGTGGACACCCTCGTGTGTAATGAACCGGAATGACTTTGGCAATGGCAGTCGCCGCTTCTTGTCGAAAGGGGACGCAGTTGCTGGTGAAATAGGCCACGGCGTTGTGCCGACCTGTGTTGTGTGGTTTGAGCGCCGGATCCAAGATCCACTGCTGTTTTTCCTCGGGTAGCATGAAAAAGGCCATTACCAAAAAGTACAGCTGCATGGTGTGTTGTTGCCAGACTTGCTGTTCGATGTAGGGGCCGAGTTGGTAGAGTCGCTCGTTGGTTGTCGGCGACCAGTCTTGAATGTTCCCCCAGGATTCTCCATTCATATATAGAATCTTGCCGGGAAAGTTTTTGAGTAACTCGGTGGAACTTTTCTTCCCAATCCAGCCACACTTTTTATGCATGCCATACACCAATACGTCCTGTGGCTGAAGGGGCTCGCGAATCTTTTTGTAGAGCCAAGTATGGAGACCACCCCCATGCTCAAAGTCGGAAAAGATGGTGTTGGCGGCAACTTTGGGGGGCTCTTCGTAGCCGCAGGTGTATATTCGTCGGCGAATAGGTATGACAGTTACGTTGGCATGTGCCAGTCTTGAAACAACCAACGGGTCGGCAGCAGTACTTGTACCGGTATCATTCCGAAGGTAGGTTGTAGTGTGGATCGTCCGTTCCACTGCACTGGCGGTATCGTCATGGTCGTGACTGCAAGCCGGGGTTTGGTAAACAGATCGCACAAGCGCCACAGAGAGCTCTGTCAGCCAGAGACTCAGACAGATCCAAGCTAAGATCAACAAGGCATTGGCTGTTCGCCGCCTCCGGCTACTACTAGTAGGTGCTTCCATCATGGTGGCAACAGAACAGGCTAGCTGCTAATGATTGTATACCGAGGCTACCATACCTAAAGTTGCCAGCTACAGCTATTAGGCTAGGATCTGGCAAAAAATGACAATACCCTGTGTTTACGAGGGAGCAAAAAGTGACTGAAAAGAAAGTTTATCACGATTCTTGAAAGTTCTTGAGAATTCCGTTTCAGAGGAGGGAAGTTTCAACCTTTTTCGCCTTTTTGTCAGAGATTTGGCTCCCACACTGCCAAAGTTGTCCAAACTGGACAAAGCAGATCCCAGATTCTGCGGGTAGCTACCAGTAGACTAGCTAGCTCGTTATCGATAGAGAAACAAAGACTGCCTTGATCGTTGCACAACCAAACACTGCGGCCATGTTTCCTTCCGTGGTTCTTTTGTGGTTGCTGCTGGCAAGGTTCAGCAGAGCATCGGATGCCAACTACACTACTACTAGCATGATCAATGCTACTGTCATTGACTTGGTGGTGTCCACTGCCTACACGGAGATTGACAACCTTGATCTTACCACCAGCCGAAGTACCTGTGAGGAATGTCAGAATCGAACCGGTTTCCCGTCTCGCTACGACAACACGACCACGTGCACCTTTCGACGGGGCCTGCTGCCCGTGGATGCCTGTTTTCGAGGACTGGAAGGGTCCTTCTCCACGCACTACTTTGTAGAGAACCAGACCAGCTTAGATATCTTTTATGCCGACAAGGACTGTCAAATTATGGAAACCGACTATGCCACCAACGAGTACAACGTTGGCGAATGCTCCGGCGTCAATAATTTCGACCGTGATGTACTCCCCGGGCATTGTATCTTGTCGGAACAACCAGAGGATGACTATCTGTATCCATTGGTGTTTGCGATGATATATCAAACACAAGAGGATTGCACATTGGATCAAGGCAGTGTCAACCCGCAGTGGTTTTCCTTGGAAGACAATTATTGCTTTGAAACCATGAGGTGGAGCGGGAGAGTCGGTGATGATGGAAATGACGATCCTACCGCTATTCATGGAGGTTACATGGCTTTTTGTGATGCCAACAGCAGTACTTTGACGATTGAAAACTTCTCGGACGCATCGTGCAGTAGTCAAGCTGGAATTGACCCGAATTGGACAAGTCCAACCACAGGAGAGAATAGCTGCAGCAGCGAGGGCGTGGAGGGGATCAATCCATGGCGACCATGGTTTCGGGCTCCTGACTGCTTGGCTCCATCCGTCTTCTGTAAGAGCCTCGTCAACCTCCTACCTTCCTGAGGTTTTGGCTGGTAGCTAGTATAGTTAAGAAAACCGATTCGTCTTTACAGCAGCATTTCCAATGAGGTAGGTAATGGTTGGGAAGCACTTGGTAGGAGAATCCAGGTACCGGTATCAACTGCCGTACAGAACAGTCTCGCTGTCAAGGCCATGCTTTCCAGTGCTAGTTGCACAGAAGCAAGACAATGCTGGGATGTTCGATCTACTAGCTAGGACAGAGGCGTCATCAGGGGTTGCCATGGCCTACCGTACGGATAAACTGCCACTTCGAAGCCTGGCTCCCCGAGCGACATCTTGTCATGAGGATGCATTCATACTGGCCGGCTGAACAGTGGGTCCAAGCAGTGCCAAGCAAGAAGGCACTGGAGGCTTTCCGCCAGGGACCTGTAATGCATCAGTGCTGGATCCACCAGGAACCAGGACATGTTGGCCATCCATGGCTGCAGACTTGGGTTATTGGCACTGCACCGTGCGCGCGTGGCCAAGTGCTCTGGCTACTGGCTGCTGCACCACTCACCTTTCGGTTCGCCACCCGGGCCATCTACGGCTACACTTACTTGAAGGACTGGTTGTGGGTGAGCCGAAACAAGCAACATGGTTTGAAGACAAGATATGCACTGTTCCTGGGGTGCAGCAAGTTACTTATTATTGGGTGCCAAGATATCCAGACCAACCTATCCGGGGTCGGTTGTCCTTGTTGGATTCGAGAGGAACGAGCTGTCATCCGAGTGGACAAGCAACAAGATCCTTGGATCTCTCTCGAACTAATGTTAGTTTAGTTGTGGCCTTTCCAAGCCTTGAGCCAACGATACCAAAAGATATACCTTCACACGCCAAAGATATGGTACGTACATGTACCATGCATGTACCGTACCATCGTTGTCAACAAGCAAGGTACCTATCGTAGGGAGCGACCCACCAGAATCTTAACCAAGTTGAAGCCACCAGTTGCATCCATGAGGTCCCAAGTGTTCTCATTGAGCCTATTGGACTTTATTCGGAACGGTGAAATCAATGCTATCTATGCATACTTCTATTAGTATGCTATCAGGTTGAGCTTCCGGTTGTCAGATGGCGGCTTCAGCATGCACAGATGATAGGTCAATTGGAGTGCAGATCGTTGTATGCATAGCCTTGCGGCATCGATGGCAACAGCCTTCTATCAAGCCTGTTCTCGTCATGTGACACCATCAGGAACTCTTGTGGCGTCCAATCGGAACTTGAGAGCTTCTTGGATGGCAGAAGATCCGCATCAGGATTTTACTGGATCCGCGTCTCACAAGAAGATCCAGTACTGGTACCCGAGCGCGGCGAGGTTACTTTGCAAAATGAATGAAGCAAAAAATGAAGCCACGTTCTTATTAGCCTTCACAGAACAGAAGTCCATACTGAAAACTCGTGGGCTTCACTTCAGCACTTGATCCTGGACGGTTCCCATCTGTCTTCAAGTTTTGTTCTTCCTCCTCGGATCCAAAGGATACTTTTTACTGATGGGAAGCGGTAATAGCTAGCTACGGTAGTAGCCCAGCATAGCAAGCACAACACGAGAACACTTGATTTGATTGTGTTGGGATCATAAATTCAGTTTTGGAAAATCCAAAAGCCAGACAACAACCTTCAGAAGAAGAAGAATGTAAGTTCAGTTCTGATTTCTATATCTTTCTTTACTCTGAAAACCATGACCATGAATGTCAACTAACATTTTCTCTTTCGCTTTCAGAATCAATTATAGTTGTTAAGAAAACAGAAAACAGATTCAACCAAACCTACTGTACAATCATGATGGACGGAGAAGAAATCAAGAGCAGCAGCAACAGCGCTCCCAAGCGCATGGGAACCTTTGCCACCGAGACGAGCGAGGAGACGGGTGGACGTGATCGTTGGGGCAATCGCATGGCCTTTTACTTGGCCGCTGTGGGTTCTGCCGTTGGATTTGGAAATGTGTGGCGTTTCCCCGCCTTGGCCAAGGACTATGGCGGTGGTGCCTTTTTCATCCCCTATGTCTTGGCCTTTTTCTGTGTGGGTCTGCCTCTCTTGACCTTGGAAGTCGCGCTCGGGCAATATTACCAAACCGGTAACGTTGGATGCTTTGGAAGTTTCCACCCTCGATTCCGCGGTGTGGGTATGTGCGCCATTGCCTGTGCCTTTATGCTGGTGGTCTATTACAGTATGCTGCTTTCCTGGGTTACTCGAGCTTTCTTTGAATCCTTTGGCTCGAATGATCCTTGGGCGGACGAGAATGTCACTGGCGAAGATGCAGGTAAGTCTTTGCATTGACAGTACCAGCGTAACATGAAGGATACGTACGTTCAGGTGTTGTGCTAACAGACAGTTCCTCCTTTCTCCTGCTCTCTACAACACTTCTAAAACAAAACATACAGTGAGCTACTTTTACAATGACATTATTGGAATGCAGACGTTGGGTGATGACTTGCGTCCCACTCGCATCGTGGGTCAAAATGTCGGGTACTCCTTCTTGGTCTGGATCTGCATCTGGCTCTGCTTGGCATTTGGCATGAAATGGACTGGAAGGATCGCCTACGTGAGCATGGGACTCCCCATTATATTGCTCTTTGTCTTTTTGATCAAGGGAGTTACGTTGGAAGGTGCATCGGATGGGATCAAGGCATACTGCGGCGAGTGGGACATGAGCGTATTGACCGAACAGCCCGATGTCTGGTCCACTGCCGTCTCGCAAATCTTTTTCTCTCTCAGTGTCACCTTTGGTACCATGACTGCCTACGGAAGCCACTGTCCTCGTGGTGAACCAGCCTTTTTGAACTCGACCGTCGTTGGTGTGGCCAACTGCACCTTTTCCTTCCTCAGTGGTCTTGCCGTCTTTGCTGCCATGGGACATTTGGCATTCCGTCAAGAGACTACTGTGGATGAGATCCCCTATGCTGGTTTCTCGCTTGTCTTTGGAACCTGGCCCGTCGTCTTTGGAACCTTGCCGGGAGGCGAACACTGGGTACGATTGCTCTTCTTTGACCTCTTCTTGTTGGGCATTGATTCCGCATTCTCCATCTTGGAGGCACCCTTGACGGTAGCCTTGGACTACTTGGGCCACGAATACGCCAAATGGAAGGTCGCCGGCGCCTTTTGCGTCATTGCCTTTTTGCTCAGTATCATCTACGCCACCGATGCTGGTCTTATCTTCCTCGACACGATCGACTTTTACATCAACTTTGTATTTTTGCTCACGGGGTTCTTTGAAACCTTTGGTGCTGGATGGGTTTACAATATCAAAGAACAAGTCGCCAGCTTGGGACCAAAGCCGGTCTTCTCGTACATGTTCACCCACTTTGCATCCATCATTGTGGCCAGTGGCTTTTGGTTCGGCTTGAAGAACGACAATGCCGCCTGGGCTGGCTTTTTGGCACTCTTCTTGTGCGGTGCGATCGGTTTTGGTGTTACGGGATTCTTCTTGTCGGAACGCATGAACGAAGAGCCCGGCCGCTGGACATGGGGTTCCATCATTTACGAATTGACTTTGGGCAATGTCATGCATCTCCGTGACACTCTGTCCACCGTTGTGGGCTACTTGCCTTGGATCTGGGCCTTTGCCATGAAGAACTTGATCCCCCAGACTCTCTTGGTGCTCTTCATTAACTTGGCCACCTCCAAGAATGCTGATGGCGATTCCGTCTTTGGACACTACGAAGGATACGTGTCCTGGCCGTTCCAAGTCTTGGGAATTTTGGTCGTTTGCTTTGCCAGCATGTTCATCTTGGTGGGATTCGCCACACCAAAGGTCTTTAAGGCTGCCGATCCTCCCGCCAAGAATGCCGCTGCTGCCAAGCTGATTATGGCCGGGGAAAACTCACCCAAAGACGTGGACGGGGCTGATTACGACAGGGCCGACAGTGAGGCAACCGGTAGTGACACCAAACTGGCCATGGACCCTATCAAGTCAGACGAAGAGCTTGTGGAGATTTCGGCATAAGCATTTCCTGGCTGCTTTGTCTGTACCGTGCGTCATCACAGACGACGGTGATTTGTGTGTTGCATGTACCGTGCATTCCGTGATGTGTGAGATGACAAGAGAGGCAGGTAGTCGCCGCCTGTGTACCAGGTTGCCCATTATTTTATGGCACCGGAAGCAAATCAAGTAAGCACCGACTTCATGAGAGGACAGGAGAGTCCTGGAGTCCTATGTAAATTAGTAATGCTACATTCAAAAAGTTTGTATTGGTACGGTATCTAGCTCCAGCTCCAGCGCCGTAAGCTACTGGCCAGGAGGCATCTGGGCCAGTACAATGTCTATCCAGCCACCCTTCTACTGTACCGGTAGCTAGCCAAATCATGTGGCCGTTGGCCTCCGCCCTTTCGTTGGTTTGGAACTTGGCATGGGGTCCATGTACTGAAAGTACTCCATTCCTCCTTTGATTCAGGCTGCCGAAGGCATGAGCCCTCAACCAGTTTTGAATTTTGAATTATTCGGCTGGTTGGCTACAACATACATGTTGCTACCTAGCTAGTACTGCCACTGCTGCTAGCTCTAGTAGATAGATAGAGCCCATTTCTAGCTAGGTAATATCTCGAATATGATTCTCCTTCTTCTATCTGTCTTTCTGCCGAGGTATCGCAGCTCCCGCTGACTTAATCGCTCTTTTGGGCATGCTGCCTTTATAGGGTTAGGGCTAAAAAGTGTGACAGACAAAGGGACAAACACACAAACAGACAAACAAAATTCAGGCTGTCGAAGGCATTAGCCCTCAACGAGTTTGAAATGGAATCATTCGGCCGGTTGGCTACAACGTGTAACTAGCTAGCTCGTACACGTGTACTGCCACCACTGCTAGCCCTAGTAGATAGATAGAGTCTGTTTCTAGCTAGGTAATAAACAGTTGGCTGCTTGGATAGCTATCTAGATAGCTAGTTAAGATATTAGGCTCTTCTATCTGGCTAGCTAAATAAGGAACAGTTGGCTGCTTGAGAGCTACAGTAACTATTTTAAAAAATAGCAGCTACTCCAGCTACTGGTACTACTAGTAGCTAGCCAGCCATCTTTTCCTCTTTTGGACAGGCAACTTTTTATAGGGTTAGGGCTAAAAAGTGTGAAAGACAAAGGGACAAACAGACAAACAAAATTCACAAGGGCCCTACCTCCGTTGAGGGCTATTCACCAGGGCCCTACATCCGTTGAGGACTATTGAGATTCCTAAGCTCGCAGTAGCAAAAAACTAAATATTCCCTACTCTAAACCCCCGCGGAATATGGAGTGAGGGGGGCTAGCATTGGTGGTGGGTAGCACTGGGAGAGAGCTGCGGGGGGACAAGGGAGCCACGCATACAGAGGTGGCGTGCCAGAAGAATAGCAAGGCTGAGCCGAGCAATGACGTAGCCACAAACCACCGAGTTAGGACGGGACCACTTTGCAGCAAGCAAAGAAGAGATCCGTTTGGCGAGTACCTCAGCTTCGGCACCAGGGAGAACAGAGACGACAAACTGAGTAAACTGGCGGCATTGAGCGAGACAAACAGAGTAAAGTGGCGCGGTTGAGAGAGACAGGCTCTGAGATATTTGCTTTTCTTGTCGCGTTTGCCATTGCGAGCAAAGGACCTTGTAAGGATCTTTGTGACTGCGAGAAGCAGCATCAAGATTGATGACCTGGACATCCAACTATGCTGTCAGTTCCACCTTGCCAGAGGCTATGGATAAGGAGATCACCTCGTTCCTCGAATGGGGTGAGAACTATAGGAGAGTGGCTGGAAGGCAAATCATCCGTAGCTGCAGAGTGAGGACTAAGATGGATACGAGGTTCATCTCGAACTGCAGTTGGGATGAAGACCTTGGCAGCGAGATCACCAAGTTCATCACGCACTCCATTGGGGCGTGAGTAACACTTAAAAGCGCTCTCCACAGCCATCAGTGGGTGGGGAGATCGGAGGGACTCTGATTGTAACCAAAGTGCAAAGCATCGCAGAATTCCTGGGCAGCGAGAACAGTGCCGTTTTCAGGCACTGGAACCACATGAAGCCAGGTGCCAGTCTCCGGGGCACGCTTCACAACAGAATGGCTGGAATGTGGCAAGGTACCTAGGACCTTGTGAAGGTCCACAGCAGCTGCAGCTAGCTTCACTGTGAGAGCGAAGAGCCTCACGACCATCAGACACAGCCTGACAGTGAACCCCAACTCGCAATTCTTTGGAGGGATCACACTGACTAGCTGTGATCACATTGCAAATTACGTCTTGACTAGCTAGCACTACTAGTACCTGGTACGCTTTCATCGATAGTGATAGTGGGATTTGGAAGGGCAAGGCCAGCTGCTTTGACATGCAAGCTGGGTCTGGGAGTCTGGGAGGAAGGTGTAAAATAATGCAATAGTGAGTGGCGAGGTGAGATTTTTTTACCTCGGCAGTCTATCTACCTGAGCCCTCTACCCCTTTTTTGGTATTTCCTATTTCCTATTTCCTATTTCCTATATCCTATATCCTATATCCTATTTCCTATTTCCTATTTCCTGTTCCGGTGAAGCCAAAATATAGGGATAGAGATAGGCGTAAGCCAACAAAACTGGAAATTGAAGGTTCTACAAATTTAGGGGTAGGAATAAATCATGATTATTCAAGGTTAGTGCACTCAACACAATAAGCCAGCAGAAATACGGGAGAGAAAGCTGTAAAATTATGGTTAGCGGGCGGCAACACACGACGAAGTCGGGTGTTGTCGCCAGGGCTAGCTTAAATTAAAAAGAAGGTTATAATGAGGAAATGATACCGGGCGCCAGGGCTACCTTGAAAGAAGGGTGCAATCTGAAACAGATCCTCTTTACCTCGGCAGTCTTGCTGCCAGAGCCCTCAACCCCTTTAATTGTTTTCCCTGCTACGGTGGTCCCTGCAGGTATAAGGGTAGGGTTAGAATAGAAATAAGTTAGCAAAAACTAAATAAGTATCTTAGGGTGGTGCTTTTAAACCAGCTAAAGCTATTTACATGCATCCTAGTAGGGGGATCTGCTTCTACCAGGAAAAACTCTAAAGCTAGCAAAAGCTATATAACTAGTATTCTAGCTAGCTTGGGGTATTTGCTTCTAGCTAGCTAAGCGCAAGTTAAGCACTAGCTAGCTAAGCACTACAGGAGCGTTCCTCAATCGTGCATGCCCTAACAAAAACCGACCCTATTTTTGGGACGGATTTAGGGACGGGTTCCCTTTAGGAACGGGTTTGAAAACCGACTCTAAAAATAGGGACAGTTTCTGAAAAATAGGGACGGTTTCTGAAAAAACGTCCCTAATTTAGGGACGGGTTTCGATTTAGGGTCGGGTTTGAAAAACGTCCCTAAATCGAAACGGGACTGAATGGTAAATACATTGAAAACGCACCAATATTAGGGTCGGGTTTGAAAACCGACCCTAAAAATAGGGACTGTTTCTGAAAAATAGGGACGGTTTCTGAAAAAACGTCCCTAATTTAGGGACGGGTTTCGATTTAGGGTCGAGTTTCGAAAACGACCCTAATTCAGTCGGATTTAGGGACGGGTTTCCCCAAACCGACCCTAAATTAGGGTCGGATTTAAAGGTCATGCACGATTGAGGAACTTTCCAGGTATCTGCTTCTAGCTAGCTAGCTAATAGGGGTATCTGCTTCTACACTGAAACCTTTCTGCCGAGGTTACACAGCTCCACTGGCTTACTTCTATTTGTCTTTCTGCCGAGGTATCACAGTTCCCGCTGACTTAAAAAAAGAAGAACGCTATGGAGGGGATTTTAAGACTTAAAACATTATAGCATCTTTAAAACCTACCGGTACAGGTACCTTTACGGCTTTAAGCATACACGTATGATCTTACGGTCGTCTGACTTTAAATAAACTACAAGCCCCGGAGCTTTTGCAAGATGCTGGTATGACTATCAGCAATCAGCACTGTACCGTACCGGTGGCTAATGCACAGTTGAGACTCACTTGAGTCCACCTACCGTAACATGTACCGATAGTACCGGTAGGGGTACATGTATCTGGGGTATCAGGTTCCGAGAGACCCAAGACAAGGAACGCGCTACCTTTACGACCGACCTTTCCCCGGATTATTCTCTTAAGAGGTGGATCTCGAATATTGTACTTCTAAGTAGCTGAATCGAAAGGGCACATGTTGTTGAGTATCCCATTAAATTCCCAAGATCAGAGTGTACTTATTGGTGGAGTTATGGTTGATTGAAAATATCCTCACTTTTGTGACGAATTCTTTTTCTCGGCAGTTTAAGACTTTACAGTACTTAATTGTGTAGGATCCTACATAGGAGAGTCCTGTAAGATCCTACGGAACACTTAGGAAGCACCTCTATTGCTCTGGTACCGAAGCTACGTAGGATCCTACGTAAGAACCTCTATTAATTACATGGTCTTAATCTTCACCCGGTCTTAAAATGACTTTTACTCTAGGTATCACAGTCATTTGTGTCATTCAGGCCAATAACTACAGCCGTACTATGATACCGGTACTAGCTAGAGCTAGTAGAGCTCTACTACTAGTAGCTACTAGCAGCAGTATCAGGACTTTGCGGTTGCCAGTTCACATTGATGTGGATGCGAAGGCAACATGCCAGTTATAGAACTATTCAACCATTTACGAACGACGCGAAGAGAAACCCACGTGGCGTACAAAGTGCGGCCCACTTTGTGCAACTTTGTATTCTCTACAATTCAATGTTAAATCTTTCTGTCAAAAATTCACCCATTTTGACTCCTCTTTGCCGAAAGGGAAACTGGATGTTTAAAAAACCTACATATGGAACAGGTGGGTACATGCGTCAGTGTGTCAATAATAATTCGGGGAGTCCGAGCAGGCAGCTGGCAAATGTCTATCCAAGAGTACTCAGTAGATTATCTACGTAATTCAACGATGAGTCACTCGACTGTCACTCGTTTTTCTCCTTCCATGGAGTCTTTCCACCACACATCAAAAAGACTGGCAAGGATCAAAAAGCCCCATTTCACGTCTCTTCCGATCGTTGGACCACAAACCTTGAAGCGTAATTCAAGCAAAAGATCGAACATTGATTGACAACGAAAGGAGTGAATTCACATCAACAACCAAACCAAAAGGAATCACCATGAACGGTAATCGTAATGGACCAACAAGCAACCATCAGCTTCCTTCGGGCGGAGGGATCGACGTTGACGCGTGGAATGATTTTGATTCCGTGCTTCCTCCTGCGGAGGCGGGATCTCGAGGAAACGACGATGGCGATGACGATGACTACGATGACTTTAAGGACATTGAGAATCAAAGCACGAAGAACGACGACGACAAGGACGGCGAGGATCTCTTGGACGTTGTGGACGTCGAGGAAGACTTTCATGACGTCAGCTTCAACGAAGACGAGGAAGGAGAGGACGACAGTCTCAGCACCCATGCCAAACGGGAGGCGGCCATTCGCCAGAGTGTGATGGACTTGGGCGTGGACCATGTCAAGAATGGAATCTTCCAGCAAATCTTGGCCTGGTTGACCCTCTGCTTTCGGTACTGCTGGAAGAAGATCAAAGGTGGCGATAGCAACGAGGACGGCGCTCTCGACGTGGTGGATGTCGTGGACCCGTCGGGTGGAAACAAGTTTACCACTCAGTTGGGTCAAGGCGGAGGAGCGAATACTGGAGTTGTAGCTGGCGCCACGGGAATGGCCGCTGCCGGTGCTGGAACCAGTGCTGGAGCCGGTGCTGGAGCCGGTGCTGGAGCCGCTAACGCGTCCACCGTGGTGGGACAAATGGCTACGCAGGCTGCTACGAGTGCTGCTGGTGCCACTGCGACCGCCACTTCCGCTGCAGGTACGTTCTACTATGAACTATGCTGGTTGTCTTTCGTTGTCGTTGGATAGCCCATTCGTGGAGGTGGATGGCTCCTCTAGCCGTGTCTCGAATTCACTTTCTCCGTGCATCACTCTCAACCGATCATGTCATTGTGTTCTTTCCCTTTTTCTTCCACACTAGCTGCGAGTGCCGGCTTTGCAGCTTCAGTGACAAGTGCTGTGGCTTCATTTGGGGTGGCTTCGCAGATTGGAATGGCTCTGGGAGTTGTTGCTGTGTCGGCTGCAGCCATCAGCGGTGGCATGGCAATCAAGGAAGCGGTTAGCGTTGACGCAAATGCCACTGCGCCTGCTGTTGTCGATGATAGCGTATGGGTCCCCCCCAACTGCTCCCCTACTTCCCAGCTCAAGGAGGGCTTTGTCGAATTGAAGATCCGGGGCATGCCCGAGGATGCCTTGCCACAGCACAAAGAAACACTAGAAGCGTAAGATTTTGTTGTCGCCACAAGTTGCGTTCATGATGGATGCTCTGACGTCCAAACACAATTGCCAATCGATCAATCATTGTGTCTCTAATCTCCTTCCCTCCTTCCTTGCCCACTACTTGTCTTGACCAGAATCTTTCGTGATCTCTACAACAATCTTACAGGAATGTGTTTGGATCCCTTCTCGCGCGTCCTCCACGAAGCAGAACTGCGAGACTGGACTACAGAAGAAACTGTGGTTCTCGTCGAAGATATTGACCAAGTATTGGATATCAATGGGACCACGACTAATACAAACAATGCTACCAACGGAACCATACAAAAACAGTTTATCGTACCCATCACAACTACCTCCTGGATTGCCACGGTTGCTTGTGATGGCTGCCCAGACTATGAACCACTCTTCCAACTCCCCGATGAGGCAACCCCAGAAGGTTCCAACAGGACCAGTAACAACACCAGTGAAACCACCAATGATGCGACTACTGAGCAACCGAATAGCACTTTCCCAAGTAGTGGCAATACAAGTGGTTTGGCACCCAGCCTGTCCAGGCGACGCCTGCAGCTGCAAGCCCAAATTGACATGTCCCAGTTCTTCAATTTGTTCGCTGCATCCTTTGGGTACAGTATTGAGCCAGTGTTGTTTGAGATTGGAATATCAGGACCCGGGCAATCAACCTTGCAGGTTGTTTTTGCGACTACCATGGCTGTCTCGTCTGGGGATCGTGGTGAGGAGTCAGAAGTAGTGGTGCTTTCCATAGGCAATGCTGAGATTGAGCCTCACATTGAGGCAGTGGAAGAGAATGAAAGCATCCTAATGACTCCATTCATATCTGATGAATTAGCACTCCTGGCCGAGTGTGTTTCAGAGGACAAAGTTGAAGAAGACCCCACGGACAAAGATGAACTGTGTAAGCAGCTTCAACAGGTGATTGCATTGGAGACCAATGCTGCTGGAGAAAACATTGATGAAAAAGCTTTGGTTGCCTGTTTCGAGACTCCAACCAACCCTGTCTGTCAAGAAGTACTGGCTGCTGCTTTAGATGCTGTTGCCAATAATCAAGATGTTGATTCATTTAATGCTGACGTGGGCAACACTGAGGGAATCAACACATCTGACAACAGTAACTCAAATCAAGATATTGATTCTGTTAATAGTGCCACATCAGGCACAGAGGAGGGTGTTCTTGCCCATGACAATGATTCAGACAAAGGAGCAGGCAACCAACAAGGTGACTCTGCCAGTGACACTGGAGGTGGAGGTGATGACACAGCTGATGGCCCTGTGGCTGGTCCTGTTGGAGGAATTGGAATCCCAACCAACAAGATGCCAACAGTTGAGAGTTCTGCTTTTGCTTCCAGTCCAGCTGCTAACTATCCGTCAACCATATATGAAGATTCCATGGGCAATGCCCTGGCACCCTCTGCAATGGGTTATGCTGGGGAACCGCCAAGTCCTGATTCAACTGCATCCCTAGGTTGGGAAAGTGACACCCCTGCTGTCACTACAGACTTTTCACATGCTCCTGGATTCTACCCACCTTCCAGTATAGGGAGTGGTCAGGACATTGGTGTCCAGCCTGCATCCCAACAATTCATGAGCCCGGCCAGTCCTGGTGGAACCCCTGGGCTCAACCCAAGTCCCCAAGGAGGAGATTTTGATTCTGTTGCAGGGGTTCAACCCTCTGCAAAGAAACCAACAAGCCCAGGAGATCTAGGGTCTGCTCCTAGTGGTCAAGGTTTGGAGCCTGCAGCTATTCCACAAGCAGCAAGCTTAGCTTCTGCTGTGCCAAACCCTGCATTTCAACTTGATCCAACAGCTTCCCAACCTTTGTCACCCAATTTGGTTGTTCACACAGGTGGCCAAGCTCACGCCCCGAACTCCCTTCAGTCAAACCCAACCATTCTCATTCCAGGCAGTCCCATACTTCTTGTTGTTCCACCTGAGAGCCCAACTATCATGAGTCAGTCAAGCCCAGTGGCAAATCAAGCACTGTTAGCACCAGCTGCTTCTCCCAATCTGAATGTTCCACCTTCACAGGCCAAGCTTCCATCAGGTTCGTCCACACCTACCAGGGCTGGGCATGCTGTTGTATCCCCGGGAACTTCGGCAGCACTCATGGCATATGGAGGCACTAATGCCTTGGAAGCAGCACCACAAGTCTCAAACCCTGGGCCCTCTACTCCCCAGTTAAACAATGCTCCAGCTGTCTTGCCACCAGCTCCTTCTGGTGCATTTTCAGATGTTTCAAAAGCAAGGGACGATGTGACTGGATGGCCCACTGCTAGTACCACGCCTAGCATTTCTCCAAGTGAATCTAATGCACCCACCCAAAGCAGCAGCCCTAGTTTTTCACCAAGCCTTGGTCCTAGCATCAGCAAGGCACCAAGCATGGACCCGAGCACTGGACCAAGCATAGTACCTAGTATCTTTCCAAGCACTTCCCCCAGCATCAGCCAGTTACCAAGCGCAAATCCCAGCTCTGTACCAAGTAGATCACCAAGTACCTCTCCCAGTTCAATGCCCAGTGAACTGCCAAGTGAGTTTCCCAGTGAATATCCAAGTACAGCCCCAAGTGAAAGACCAAGTGAGAGCCCAAGTAGAACACCCAGTGCCACGCCAAGCAAATCCCCTACTGCAAGCCCAAGGCCCAGTGGTCTACCAAGCACTAATCCCAGTATTAGTCAGGCACCAAGCAGTGGTCCAAGTTCTAGCCCAAGTGCTGGACCAAGTGCTGGACCAAGTGATAGCCCCAGTTCAACTCCAAGTGAAGTCCCTACGTCGAGTGTCAAGCCCAGTGGTTTGCCAAGCTCAAGTCCCAGCATCAGCCATCTACCAAGCATTGTTCCAAGTTCAGACCCCAGTGGAATGCCAAGTGAAGCAAGTGATACACCTAGTGAGAGTCCTTGCAATGATCCCTTCTTGACTGTCAATTCATACTATTATGTATCGTTCAGCACGAATGTCACAAACATATCTGATGGTTTGCTGGTTGCAGGATTCAGAGCTGGATATAATGCACTACCAAAACAGTCTTGTGCAGACAATCTTATTGGTGTCACAACTGAAAGACTTTTTACTAGAAAACAGCTCCCGCCATCAGAAACAAATACAGTAGGATTCAGAGTTGAGACAAGGCAATCGTCATTTGGAAGTCTGTTCCAAAGTCCAGATGCAGTAGTATCATTTATTGATGCCCTCAACAGAGCTCTTGGAGGACAGACAACAGCAGTTGCGACAACAGTGAGTGATTCATTCACAACTGGAGGCCCCTCTGCTTCTGTTCCCACGGTCACGCCCGGTTTTCCCAGTGCCAAGCCGACAACTGGTACTCCCACCACCGGAACGCCCACCCGTGACTCCTGGAAATCCATCCATGAGACCCACCATGGAGCCCCACTGCTTCTGTTCCCACGGTCACGCCCGGTTTCCCAGTGCCAAGCCGACAAATGGCGCTCCAACCACGGAACGTCCACCGTGACTCCTGAAATCCATCCATAACCCACCACTGGAAGCCCCTCTTCTTCTGTTCCCACGTCACCCCGGTTTTCCCAGTGCCAAGCCGACAACTGGCACTCCCACCAACAGAACGCCCACCGTGACTCCTGGAAATCATCCATGAGACCCACACTGGAAGCCCCACTGCTTCTGTTCCCACGGTCACGCCCGGTTTTCCAGTGCCAAGCCGACAACTGGCACTCCCACCACCGAACGCCCACCGTGACTCTGGAAATCCATCCATGAACCCACCACTGGAGGCCCCACTGCTTCTGTTCCCACGTCACGCCCGTTTTCCCAGGCCAAGCCGACAATGGTACTCCCACCACCGGAACCCCACCGTGACTCCTGGAAATCCATCCATGACCCACCACTGGAGGCCCCCTGCTTCTGTTCCACGGTCACGCCCGTTTTCCCAGTGCCAAGCCGACAACTGGTACTCCCACCACCGGAACGCCCACCGTGACTCCTGGAAATCCATCCATGAGACCCACCACTGGAAGCCCCACTGCTTCTGTTCCCACGGTCACGCCCGGTTTTCCCAGTGCCAAGCCGACAACTGGCACTCCCACCACCGGAACGTCCACTGTGACTCCTGGAAATCCATCCATGAGACCCACCACTGGAAGCCCCTCTGCTTCTGTTCCCACGGTCACGCCCGGTTTTCCCAGTGCCAAGCCGACAACTGGCACTCCCACAACAGAACGCCCACCGTGACCTGGAAATCCATCCATGAGACCCACCACTGGAGGCCCCACTGCTTCTGTTCCCACGGTCACGCCCGTTTTCCCAGTGCCAAGCCGACAACTGGTACTCCCACCACCGGAACGCCCACCTGACTCCTGGAAATCCATCCAGAGACCCACCACTGGAGCCCCACTGCTTCTGTTCCCACGGTCACGCCCGTTTCCCAGTGCCAAGCACAACTGGCACTCCCACCAAGAACGCCCACCGTGACTCCTGGAAATCCATCCATGAGACCCACCACTGAGAGGCCCCACTGCTTCTGTTCCCACGGTCACGCCCGGTTTTCCCAGTGCCAAGCTGACCACATGGCGCTCCAACCACGGAACGCCACGTGACTCCTGGAAATCCATCCATGAGACCCACCACTGGAAGCCCCTCTGCTTCTGTTCCCACGGTCACGCCCGTTTTCCCAGTGCCAAGCCGACAACTGGCACTCCCACCACAGAACGCCCACCTGACTCCTGGAAATCCATCCATGAGACCCACCCTGGAGCCCCACTGCTTCTGTTCCCACGGTCACCCCGGTTTTCCCAGTGCCAAGCCGACAACTGGCACTCCCCACCGGAACGCCCACCGTGACTCCTGGAAATCCATCCATGAGACCCACCACTGGAAGCCCCACTGCTTCTGTTCCCACGGTCACGCCCGGTTTCCCAGTGCCAAGCCGACAAATGGCGCTCCAACCACTGGAACGTCCACTGTGACTCCTGGAAATCCATCCATGAGACCCACCACTGGAAGCCCCACTGCTTCTGTTCTCACCGTCACGCCCGTTTTCCCAGTGCCAAGCGACAACTGGTACTCCCACCACTGGGACGCTGACTGTGACTCCTGGAAGCCCAAGCACTCCCAACCCAAGCACTGCCAACCCAAGCACCGCCAACCCAAGCACGCCACCCAAGCACTGCCAACCCAAGCACTGCCAACCCAAGCACCGCCAACCCAAGCACCGCCAACCCAAGCACCGCCAACCCAAGCACGGCCGACCCAAGCACTGCCAACCCAAGCACTGCCAACCCAAGCACTGCCAACCCAAGCACTGCCAACCCTAGCACCTTGGATCAGAGTACTGTTGTGCCCACTAGTGCTATCCCTAGCACAACAAGTCCAAGCACCGGAACTCCCACAGCTGTTAGTCCTAGCACAGGCGGTCCCACAAATGTCAGTCCAAGCACTGGAAGTCCCACAGCTGTTAGCCCAAGTACTGGTGTTCCTACAACTGTCAGCCCAAGCACCGGAATACCTAGCACCTCTGCTCCAACTACTCTAAGCCCCAGCACCTCTGCTCCAAGCACTTTGAGCCCCAGCACAGGAACGCCAAGTACCTTGTCACCTAGTACTGCCAGCCCAACAACGGCTGTCCCCACCACTGGAGCCCCCACGGAAAGCTCCGGACCTAGTGCCCTGCCAAGCAGTAATCCCAGCAACAGCCAGGCTCCAAGCACCAGTCCAACACCAGACCCGAGCAATGCCCCATCTTTGGAGCCATCCAAATCACCAAGCATCAGTCCTTCTCATATCCCTTCCAAGTTGCCATCATCGAGCCCAAGCAACATCCCATCTTCTGAGCCATCTATGTTGCCAAGTATTAGTGCTGCTCCTTCCGCAATGCCCTCATCAAATCCAAGCATTGACCCCTCTTCCAAGCCATCAGTTCCACCATCAGACATGCCTTCAATGTTGCCATCAAATGTGCCTTCAATTGCACCATCTGTTCCGCCATCAGACACGCCTTCAACGGTGCCATCAAGTCTGCCAAGCGCAAGTCCTTCAGATACCCCTTCCAAGCTGCCATCATCCAAGCCATCGATGGTGCCATCAGATGTACCTTCCACTGCACCATCAGATGTGCCTTCCACTGCACCATCAGATGTGCCTTCCACTGCACCATCAGCCATGCCCTCTGTCATACTTATAATTAATTCAAAGGCAGACCTGGACACGGCAATTGGGACTAACTGTGATGGGGACTTTTCACCAACGGGACCCTATGGTAAGATCATTATTCTGGTTTGAACTTGTCTCAGCAATACCAATATCCTTAGTTGTTCTCTATCAACACAGGTGCAATATCTGATTGTGAGTTCTACATGCTCATGCTTTGGAAGCGATGATTCAACCTCTAACCATGCGTTGCCATATGCTTGAAAATCTGTATCGTCAGGGGATGTAAGCAGAGTGTCAGATTTTTCGAATGTAAGTGGTTTTAGGAAGAGAGTTTTTGAATGCTTAGGGACAGGAAGAACTGGCAGGCTCACTATATTTGCATTGATTCACAGCTGTTCAAAGACTGCACCACTTTCAACGAGAACATAACTGCTTGGACGACTGGCCAAGTAACCTCAATGCATAGTACCTTTTATTCTGCACCAAGTTTCAACCAAAATCTCGACAGCTGGGATACCAGTTCAGTAGTTTCTTTCAGCGGTACATTTGATTCGGTAAGTCTTATCTGCAGTTCATCTAGTGTATCAAATTTTGAAAAGTTTCTATATGTATGTTGTAAGCTCATCACTAGTCTTTTGTGATTCTGAAAGGCGACATCATTCACAGGAGCTGGGCTTTCATCTTGGAAAACTAGCAGTGCACAAACGTTTGACTTTATATTTTATGATGCATCCAATTTTAATGAAGGTGCGTGAGTCGCTTGAAGAGTGATTGCTGGAGATTTTTCAACTACTAGTGCTAACGTTCCTTCCTTTGACCCTTAAAAGACGTCTCAAGCTGGGATGTGTCAAGCGTTACAAGCATGGAAGGTATGTTTGCCTTGGCAAAAAACTTCAACCAAAATATTGGATCTTGGGATGTCAGTTCTGTGTTGACCTTTGAAGTAGCATTCCATGGTGCTAGTGCTTTCAATGCTGATCTATCTAATTGGGACACTAGCAAGGTCACAAACATGGCAGCTATGTTTTTGGATGCTACCTCCTTTGACATTGACATATCTGGATGGGATGTCAGTTCAGTTACAACGTTTTCAAGTGCATTCAGGAATGCTACAAACTTCAACATTGATATATCTGGATGGGATGTCAGTTCTGTTAGCTATTTTTATTCAACATTCAAGGGTGCGACTTCCTTCAACATTGATATATCAAGATGGGATACAAGCCAGGTTAAAGCCATGAAATGGATGTTTGATGGCGCTACTTCCTTCGACATTGATATATCTGGATGGGATGTCAGTTCTGTTGCAGACTTTCAATATGCATTCAATGGTGCGGCTTCGTTCAACCAAGACTTGAACCCATGGGGCACCAAAATCACCACCAATCCGTATCCACCTTCTACAGAATATATGTTCAATGGAACCTCGTGTCCCAGCACAGCAGATCCAGACCTCTCAGCAAGTCCCAAGGGGCCTTTTTGCTCTGTTTTACCTACAAGTATGCCAAGTGATCTGCCAAGTTCTAGTCCCAGCTCAAGTCAGTCACCTAGTGTACGTTATATACAACAGATTTTTCATTATTCAGACCTGAGAGCAGCACTGGGAACCAACTGCGATGGGGACTTTTCACCAACAGGACCCTACGGTAAGATCATTTTTTGTGGTTGGAACTCGTCTTTACAATTCAGTTGCCTTATATGTTCTCTATCAACACAGGTGCAATATCTGATTGTGAGTTCTACATATAGCTCATGCTTTGAAGTGATGATTCAACCCTAACCATACATCTTAATCAACATGTTGCTTGGAAACAGGGGATGTAAGCAGAGTGTCATACTTTGAAGGTGTAAGTAGTTATGATGGACAAATTGCTGGAATGGTTCAAGACAGTTGAAGTTGCAGCTCACTATTTACATTGATTGACAGCTGTTCCGATTCTGCTACACATTCAATGAGGACATATCTGGCTGGACAACCAGCAAAGTTACCACAATGAGGAGTACCTTTCGCCGTGCAAGTGCATTCAACCAAGACATCTCAAGTTGGGATGTGTCAAGCGTTACAACAATGGCTAATTTGTTTTTGAATGCAACATCTTTCAATGTTGATATATCGGGCTGGGATACAAGCCAGGTCACAACGTTGAATTCCATGTTTAAGGGTGCTACTTCCTTCGACATTGACATATCTGGATGGGATGTCAGTTCTGTTACTGGTGGGAATCTAGGGGATGGGTTTCAATCTGCCTTCAATGGCGCATCTTCATTCAACCAAGACTTGAACACATGGGGCTCCAAAATCACCAGTACAATAGTTCCTACAACATCAATGTTCACTGGAACCTCGTGTCCTAGCACAGCAGATCCAGACCTCTCTGCAAGTCCCAAGGGGCCTTTTTGCTCTTTTTTACCTACAAGTATGCCAAGTGATCTGCCTAGCAATGCCCCATCTTTGGAGCCATCTACGCTGCCAAGCATTAGTGCTGCTCCTTCCAGATTGCCCTCATCAAGCCCAATCATTGCCCCTTCGTCCAAGCCCTCAGAGTCACCAAGCACAAGCCCCTCCAAGCTTCCGTCAGCCATCCCCAGCCTCTCCAACTGGCCATCAGATGCGCCTTCAATGGCACCATAGGATGTATCCTCCATTCCACCATCAAACGTGAGTGCCCTCACTTCTACTAAGAGCACCAGTCCTTCGGACACCCCTTCATCGTAGCAATCAATGGAGCCATCGGATATGCCCTCAGTGGCGCCATCTCCTTAGATCTATGTTCATGATGTAGCTGTTTCGATGGATGTTCTGTCAAGTTGCTGAAGCATTCACAGAATTGGATGGCTCACCAAAATCAGCTTGCGCTGCACGTGCATGTGGAAGTTGCTTTCATTCTGAGGGAGCTGGAAGCCTGCATCCAAGTTCAGCCTGACTGTTTCTATCTAGTGACTAAAAAGTGATACTATACCGGTAGACATGCCATTATTACTACTGCAGCATTCGCCTCCCACCTGGAAAGTCCAACTATCCATGCATGGCGCGGGCTCGCAGTACTCCTGTATCCGGACACGAATCACTCCATAGCACTGCACACCTTCTGCAAAAATTGTCCTGATGTCTTCTACGGAACATGGTCAGCACACTGTAGCTGCCTAAGGGCTGATCCAGTCGAGGAATCCACTTTGATTGTTCTTGTTGTTGCTGCTTTCGCTATTAATTCCGGCAGCAGCTCTGGCCGCCTTTCGTTGTCGCAGTAGGCATCCAAAGACGATTCCGTGTAGGGTCCAAAAGAAGGTTGTCAAAAAGACACAGACACTGAACTGCCCGTACCATCCATGTTCTTCTAGCTCTCGTCCTTCTTCGGTTTGAATCGCCCCCAATCCCGCGACGAGAATGAGCGTCAAAAAGGCCAAATGGGTAAAGACAAACAAGGCACCTTGTAGAGCTCCGAAGTCGGCGTTGCGTCCCAGGACAAAATTGCCATGAAGAATCATGGCCAGGAAAAGTGCCGTGGCATACACGTAGACAAATATCACACTACCTCGACCCTGTGGTTCTTCTTCGTCGCCGCTGGCACCGTTGCCGCCAAACCACCACCAGGGCGTCTGATCGCCACTGCCTTGTTCGTTATTGCCGCCCCACCAATTGCCATTGGCATTATTATTGTTGTTGTTATTGTTGTTGTTGTCATTGTCGCCACCGCCTTCGCCGACATGAGTGGACCGTGCCACCGTCATGATGAGCAGAGGCAACAGCACCGTCGCAGCGGCCGCGACATTCCATCCCATCAAGAAGGAATCGGACTTGAGTTCACTCGAACTTGGGATGCCAAACATGATTTACTTGTTATTGTAGCTAGCTAGCTAGCTGATGTTCTTTATTAGTGTTGACTCGAGTCTTCTTGCGTTTTGTGGCTTCGTGGTTTGGTATTTTGGCATTGGTCCTTGTGGGTCGTTCGCATCCATTTCTGTGAGTGGCACCGTTGGCGCACCACTTTCCTCCGTTTTCCACGATGCGAGCCGGAGGATCCACATCTTTTTTCTCCATACTGTAGCAGCTCTTTGGTTTCTTTCATCTTTGCGGTTGCCTTGGCAAGGCATTGTTGTCTGCAATCTCTGCAATCTCTGCAATCTCTGCAATCTCATTGTTATTCCTGTGTCTTTTCCCGGCCCTTTTTTATTCCTTCTCCCATCAATTCTGGCCAGCCACCAAGCAGGCCCCGTCATGGGTATCAATGAAACCCTACCGTACCGTACTCGATACTGCCTGGAAGACACTCTAAACTCACCGCTCTTCCAAGACAATGGGAGTTTAGATTAGGTAGAATATCAAAGAATGACTCGCTCCACTCAGTGCCATTTTTGCGACGCTATTGTCTCTTGTTGCGGTAAACTGCTGCAAAAAGACACTCAAGTTCTGGCACCAATGCTACTAACGCCATGGGCATTCCCACCCCATTCTGTACTGGAACAGAGTCAAGATCAATATGTCTAAATAGTGACACAATTTGGTACTGTAGGCACGAAACCAACCCCATCGTAATGTGCCCTGCATCACCAACCATAGGCAATCTTCCTCTTGAAATTAGGTCACAGCTGCCTCCTGCCAATCACAACCTGCCAATGCTAGTCTATGCTGGTGGTACATGCTTTCAGACGAAACCAGCCTCCAATCGTTCGCCCAAGAGTTTCCACTACTAATATAGCACACTGAAGGGGGTCTACTAGTCTACAGAAGCCGGCAGAGGGCCAGAATGCTACATGTACTGATGGGAGGCACTATAGAGCCTTGAGATGAATCGACTCCAACTTCAAAACACAGCAACTAGGCGGCTTTAAATTCACGTTGCCTCCTCAATACAATCCAACATGGGAGATCCCGGTCCTCGCATGACAACATTGGACATGTAGGCGGGTTCCTGCCCAAAGAAAAACTTGTCCGAGGGCTTGATTGCCGCGGAAGACATCTTCAGTCGTTCCAGTTGAACCGCAACTTCCGAACTCTGCAACAGCTCCGCGGCTTGCCTCGATCCCTGGGCACGAAGAATCTCGGCGGCCTTGGATCCTTCGGCACGGATCCTTTCTGCATCTCCTTCCGCTTTGGCCCGAACCATGGTAGCAATGGCTTCCGAATCCGCAGTGATCTTGCGAGTGACAGCCTCTGCTTCCGCGGCAACTTTCATGGCCTTGGCTTCTCCCCGAGCCTTGGTTTCCGATTCAAGTGCTTTGGCACTGGCAACCGCACCCGATGCCAAGGAGGCTGTCAGTTGGCTATCCACAGGGTTGGCGGAAATTACGTTGATGCTCAAGATTTGGACTCCGAACTTGCTCGTGACTTGATTGGCCTGGGCCACAGTCGCTGCCATTCGTTCCGTATCAAACATGGGGTTGTTCTCGCTCCTTTTGTTGGTTTGCGCCTCGTCTCTCATTTCTGATTCTGGCTCATCTGCATCTCCTGCTGGCAAGCCAGATTCCTCCTTGGATTCCATCCTGCGCTTGGCTGCAGCAGCATGGTGAAAGGAGTCCGAGTAGTTGACGGAACCAATAAAGGCAGCCAAAGATGCAACTGCTTGCTTGAGAAGATCACTGCGAAGCTTGGTAATGTCGGCAGAAATGCTGTCCTGACCTGCGGCTGCCATGGTCTCTGCAGCCCTTGTCGCAGCAACCTTCACATCTTGGATTTGCCAGACGACTGTGCTCGAAACCGACATGATGATGTTGTCGGCGCTGATAGTCTGATGGGTCGTCGAAGCATCAGTGAAGTATCGTGAGCAAAATCACCTTTTAAATATTACAATCCGCCACCCAACCACACGAGTTCATGCATACTCACCTCAATTTCCTTCAAGTCACTGGTCTGGATCTTTTTGGTAATGAACTTTTCAAACTTCCACTTGGCATGGTTCAATAAATGAGTTGCCCCTCCATCCAAGATGACTTGAGAGCCGTTGTTTTGTGTAATGGCCGCATACCCTTCGTTCACAGTGAGAATGGTGTACGGACCAATTTCAATGACGCGATTGTCCAGGTCGTACAATGCCTCGTATTGCAAAGCGGCATTAGTCCAGCTGTGAAGTCCAGGAGGAAGCAGCACTGGTTGTCCTCGTTCCACCGCATATCCCAGCTTGCCTTGTGGGACAATGACAATGGTACGGTTCCCATGCACCAGCACATTGGTTGGGTCTGCACGGTTGCGACGAGCGTCGCCTGCGGGAGTTCCAAGCAACACGGGAGCCCCTACTTTTTGAAGGAATGGATCCGTAATGTTGTGGATCCCAGGCTTGGCAAAGAGATACCTGTTTTCGCCGTCGATAAAGCGGCAGATTCCACCTGGTGGCACTGTCACTTCCGTGTTGAACGCTGCCTATATTCCAACAACCAAACGAGCGAACGTTAGATAATAGATCCAGCACCGGCACGTAGTAATCGCAGGTAATACTTTGCTCTGTTGGAAGAATATGGTACTTACATATGACATGTAGCCACAGCCAGGGGTCCAATACACACCCCACAACATTCGTTTGTAAAAGTCGTTTGCGAGACTCGAGTTTGGCTCGAGGTCGTACGACTCGAATATTTCATCAAAGCTCTCCTTGCGATAGGACGTGTCGAGCAACCCATGGGCTTGTACAACTGCATAAGCTGGAGTGTCTTCACCTTGTCCCACAGCCGATGTTGACTTTGGTTTGTCCACATTGTTGGGCGCCTGTTCCAAAGGAAGGGGCTGCAATTTTGAAAAGCGAGGACAAAGCATCCTGTATGTGAGCACACGCAATGGGAAGAAAGAACGAAAAAGTCCAACAAGCTTGGTACAATCTGGCTGGAATCAAGCAGTACTTACAGCAGTTTTCGCGGACATGTTGTTCAGATAGAGAGTTGTTGTTGTTGTTGCTGCTTGGGAAATGATTTGTGTCAGCACCAAAGCCGTCTCTATTCGGCCAGCAGCTAGCCAGCTAGCTATACCGTGTGCACATGTATCGTTGCCAAAAGATTGATCGACGATCACTCCTCTCCTTTGTTTGTTGTTTTTGGCCACCAATACATTCATGGACGACTGTGATGTATCGCTTTCTTTTGGTGTTTAGATACGTGAACGCGAGTCAGCCGTGGACCACTTTATGCTTCATTCGTGGTTGACTCCCACGCCCCAAAGCGGTGCGCCAAGCTCAACCTCCGTGGTGCTGGTGATGGTTGATGGTGAATGGTTGACGGATCTGATCTGACCATCTCTGATTGTTGTTGGAGTGCAATAATTTCAGTTGCTTACTGCAGATGCATGCACAGCACAGCCAGAACTCAAGAAAGAAACATTGTTGAGACTAGTAATGTTATACTACTACTACTACTACCTTTAGAGACGGCCACAATGCTGGCTGCAGTCCAGTCTCTGTTCCACATGCGACACCATTGGAAATGACGATGCAGAATTCAACCGGAAGTATTGAAAACCAAAAAGCAGCTGCTGAAACAACCCGCCTTTTAATTTGAAGTGGATCTGAGCTATCGTATGGTCGATACCGGTACCGTACCGGTAGCCGACTAATTCTAGTTATGCATACTTTCGTGGTACAGTATTCGTCTCTCATCAGCTTTCACAGCGCGCAACGAATATATTATCATAAATGAGATTGTTTGCTGTCCACATACAAGGAGCTCATGAGCTAGCTGTCATTATTTCCGTGCCTGTACTAAACTAAAAATGCTTCAAGGAACCCGTTCCGAAAGCTTCTGAGTTGTGAGTCCCTTCCAGAATGAAGAGTTCCGAAACCTTTGAGCCCTTCTCTTGAGAAAAAACCAAGATCCAACGGTCATCTATCTTGCGAACATCAACCGGGGCCACATCGAAGAGACATACAATCGAAGAGACAAAGAAAACACTAGTACAGTACCAGTAGTACTCAGCAAACAATAGACAACATGGCGGAACCAGAGCAGCCACCGTCACCCGAGCAGCCACCGTCACCCGAGCAGCCACTACCATCCGGTGGTAGCGCTATTAGCAAAGGAAAAGAAGAAGAGGAGGAGAAAATGGTGATTGTGATCTGCGCAGTGACGGGATTTCAAGGCGAAGCGATTGTGGATCGTCTGGTTCAATCTAGTACTACTACTAGTGCTACTACTAGTACTAGTAGTAAGAAAATGGAAATTCGAGGTCTGACACGAGATGGCAACGGCCCGAAAGCGCAAGCCCTGATTGCGCAACATCCGGAAGACATCTTTACGTTGATTCAAGTGGATTACAGTAGTCGCAAATCGTTGCGTCGTGCGTTTCAAGGTGCTCACAGTTTGTATTTGAATTGTCCCATGGCCATGACGGGACACGACCCACAAGGGTACCAACGGTTGATTGATTGTGCCATTCAAGCCGGCATTCGTCACATTGTCTATTCGAGTCTCTTGCAATTGCCACACTCGTCGGAACAAAATAATGAAGACTCGATTCCACCTCATTGGACAAGTGCGCGACACACCGAAGGCTATTTGGCCATTCGACAAGACGAAACCAAATTGGCATTTGACTATCACGTCCTCCGATTGGCCCCCCATTTCAATGATACGCTACAACTCAAATACGACAACAATGCCAACACAAGTGCCAGTGACAATAACGGCGTGACGTGGATTGCCTATCCGTGGCCACCGAGTATTCGAACGCCCACTGTGTCCGCCAAGGATGTGGCACGCATTGCCGTGGCACTATTGCTCCAACCCGATCGTCTTCCCAATGGTGCCGTCGTTCCAGTCGCCACCGATTATGCCAATCCCCATGAAATGGCACAATACATGACACTCGCCATTGCTAATGCTAACGACACCAACAAAGACACCAGTATTATTCAAGCCCATCAACCAATCCTCCTCAAACCACACGCCATGCTGTCGTACGAACAACAATGCCTCGTCGCCATGGGAGATTACCTCGCACAACAACAATCCCAGTTTGGGATTGTCAAGGATGATTGGGGTAAAAAACAAACCAAACACAAGTACAAACTACAGGATATTCTATTGCAACAGCAATCGCAAGACAGCGAGGAACCGCTGGAAACCGTACAGGCATTTGTCCAACGTGTCTTTGGTGCCGGTCAAACCAAGTAGTACATAATGCGGGCGATCGCAACGACGACGACCGCTGCCTTTGGAAAAATGATTTTGGTATCTTTTAATTAAATAAGAAGGCATCTGGCTGGAGCTTGCTCGGGTTCCGAAAACCACAATTCGCTCGATTTCAAACACCATATTACTGTACGGTACGGTAGCACTTGGCTTTTCCCCTTCTACATAGGTAGGTAGAATTATTGACCATTCCTTTGGCGTCATCTACTACGGTAGGGAGGCGGTTGACCGATCGTTCCTACAGCGCCACCAGTACAGTACATCCTAGTTAGGCTTTTAAAATTATTCAAACCAATAGCTGCAAATAATATACAATATCGTAACATTATCCTTTGATATATCACAAACAATAAACAAAAGCTGCCTATATATTCCGCATGATACCATACTGGACTTTTAAAATTGCCCATTGCAACAAAGGGCCAACACACAAACACACTTTGGTCATGCACACGAAACACAGCTGCATGCCAACTCCGAATCACCCGAGGCAGCCAAGGCTTGTCGGAACGGAACGAGGCCCTCGAAAAAGTTGAGCAGAAGTTCGTCAAACTCATCCAGTGGAAGGAAATGTGCACACAAATTGCTGTGAGTCTCAAACCTCACACCGAAATCAGTCCGATCGCGGCAATCCCCCACAAGAGCCGTATATACCAAATGATCTTTGACAGAGTCAATACAGCAGAATTGACAGACAACTGATACAGTGTACTTGGACTAGCTTACATTTATTTCATCCCCAAACCCACGTATACAACAAGGGTAAACTTTAAACAGTAAGCCCAAGTTAGCCTTCTTCTGTGCCGCCACAGAAACTGGCCGCGATGTAGCCGAATGGCTTCGGCTCCTGCCCAGCCTCCCTCCACACCCTCTGGAGAGGGCCACATGGCCCCAGGGTTGCCATCCCACATCAGATACATCAATGCCTGCAAACACGGCATCAGCGGCCTTTGCCTGTCAAGCTTGATTTCAAATGAGGTGCCATCTCCAGCAAACTTGTGTTGTTCGGCAGGACAGCCAAACTTTGTCAAGTCAAGCACTTGTTTGCATGGTGCGACCAACGGCTGGCAGTCTGCGGCAGCAAGGTTGATCAATTTCAGGAGTTTGTGTAGGCTGTTGTGCTCGACTGTGTTTTGGTGGATCTGGACACTGCCGGCATCTTGGAGCCGTGCCTGATGAAGTGATTTGTGCAGGGGTGGCAAAAGAGCTGTACTGCGAATGACAGGCAAAGCATATTGGCACATGCCAAGAAGAGCCTGAAAGTGCTTTGTTATGATCTCACCAGTGCAAAGAATACGATGAATCACATCACGCATCTCTCCTACCATTGTAGCTCGAAGCTGCGTGGTCAAATCTGATGTATCCATTCGATGGCCGAGGATTTCCTGGCAGCTCCAGAAGGTAGAATAATTATCTTTGGCTACGCAATAAGGTTTGACTATTCTTGAGGTCCCCATGGCGATCAGCTTTTCAACAGCGGTACTACGATACGGTATATAGTGATAGACGTGTTGCTTGCTACGGTACGAGCTAGTAGGCACAACAGACCACACAAGAGACAAGAGTGGCTTATTCTTGAGAGTAGAAGAGTGGAAAGTCCGTGGTGGATTTGCCTGCCGACAGCCAAAATAGGAAATCACGGACGTCCACTTCTACCAGTAGCTAGCTAGACTATTTCCAGCTTGTTACTCGATCGGCTTGGTTATCGAACGCGTCGAGCAGAAGGCCGTACCGTAGCATCACCATTGTGGATGTTTCGTGCGGAAAAGATAGCGATTTTCTCAGTCGTGCGTAAACGTTTTCCAGGTTCTTGTTTCCAAAGACGGGCGAGCCTAATTTTGAAACCGGAACCACATTTTACCTGGACCACCACACCAGCCACCCACCACCGCAGCCACCGCTTTGCCTAGCTAGCCTCGCCCCCCTCCTCCTTTAATTAACATATCTATTTAGTATTTATTTTCTTCATTTTACCTGGACACAGCTTGATGATTGACGGCTGTCACTCCACTCAAAGAAAGGACATCGCACGATCTTAGATCCTGATGCGAAATGAACGCTGACGATGGCTGTCTCTTCTACCATCGTCCCATCCTTACCAGGGATCCTCTCGCGCCCCTCTCGCGCACCCCCTTTTCTACACTTTCTTCTGTTCTTTCATGCATCGTCCTTGGGCTTTGGTTGTTGCAGTGGGCAGCACAATACCGGTACAGGACTAATACCGTAGTGGCAGCAATGCTAGTATAGTAGTATCGTAGTCAAGAAGAAGAAGAAGGCTTGCGTCATCCCTGTCGGAAAGGGGAAAGCTGCGTTGTGCGCAATCTTTTTGTCGGTGGATTGAATCCAAGTGGCACACGCTCTCTGTAAGGCAGGTCGGCATGTCGAGAACTCTACGCTCTGACACAAACCGTGTTGCGTTGGGAAAACAACGGTGGAGATGAATCCTCCTTACTTACAGTACTCTACCGCTACCGTATGCTCCCATGATTGAACTGCAAGACGTTCCCACTACTGCTATTGTTCCATCCGACGACGCATCGTGTCCCATGGTTCGATCCATCATTTTCAGCCAAATCGGGTGGATACTCTCCCTGCGCTCCCTGCACCGCCGACACGCAACAACTCGACCGTTTCTAATGTGTTGCGCCAAACGAAAAATTTCCAGCATGCTCCAGCACCCCCAATACACCGTTCGGTTGCAACTCTATTTGGGCGCCTACCGGTAGGTCATTCTTGACCATCGACGCACGTGTCTTGCATTCCCGTTCCAAAATTGCACCCAGCGATGGAGCACGATGGTCACGTTACAAGGATGTTGTTTGAATCGGGATGGCATCTAATGCCGTCACGAACAACTGTGACGAAAGTACGCCACACAAATGTAAACACCCTTTCGAACCCTTCGACAAGCGCAAAGGCCTTGCGTCCGGGCCATTGTGCAAACGACAGCACTGGACGATCTACATACTCCAACAACAAAAAGAAGCCTAATTGGAGCTCCAGTGAGTCGAGTGGAGTCGAGTCTCTATGAACACAATCTGCAAACGGCAGTCGCGTTTTGCGGGACAGAGGTGACCACGAAACTGTGGTACTGTCAAGTCCCTTCTTCATGATCCATGTCTTTGAAACCTTGGCCGTCAAAAATTACGAGGGATTGATTGCCGCTGCTGGCACGGTGGATCCCCCCCCAAGGCGCAATGGCTCTCAATTGGCCCATCATAACATATTCAAATTCAAGGATACTTCTTTGGATGCACCGCTTGGATCACTACTGCCTGGCAGTGCATCCTACAAACAATATCTGGTGAAGACATGCTCAAGTATGGTATCGTTGGGATGTTTTCTGTTGATTCATATGTTATTTTATGGGTTACTTTGAATAAGCAGAAGCATAACTATACTGTACCGGGCAACAAACATGTCTGGTTCTCTTGACGGTGGAGGCCCCCTCTATGGACTCTAGGGCTCTCTGACTAAACAAAAACACGGAAAGCACAAGCAAATGGCTCGTGCAAACAAATGTTGAAAAGTGCCTGAACTTTAGCCACCAAAGAATCGGAAAAACCGGCCTACTGCTTCCACAATTCCACTGCATGTCCGATCAATGGGTGCTTGAGTGGGAAACAGCGTCTGTGTTGATGGGAAGACATCCGTATACATTGCCATTCCCTGTGGAGTATACACAGAACTTGAAGCAGCACGCACATTCGTTACGGTACCATCAACATCCAAGTCAAAAAGGTTATTGAGAACACCATCGACTCCAAGAAACTTGTTGGTGTTGGGATTCCACACAATTGAATCAAGACTTCCAAGAGAGACACTCAGCTGACCAACTAGAACAAGTGTGCATGTGGATGGATCAATGGTGTACATGGTTGGAGCGGTGCTGAGTTCGAGCTTGGTCAAGTGCAGAAGGCCTGTGATAGGGTTTGTGTCCATGCCTGAAAATTGGCCCGACAGTATGCCTGAACATATGACCGTTTCAACACCTGTGTTCACATTCAACGAATACAAACTGGATGATGTTTGAAAGTGTGCATAAAGAACACCATTTCGAAACGCAATACTTCCGGCATAGTTGAAGCCACCAGAGGAAATTTGGGTTACCGCTGCAGTCACAGGGTCAACCTTTAGGAGACCGGGTGATGGGGAATTGTTGTAGATGTACAATTCTCCGGATCGAGACGCCATGGTAACCGGTGTGGTATATCCCGTCAGATCACCAATGTAACTCACCAATGCGCCAGTGTCACTGTCAATGATGTATAGTCCATCATTGCTTGAATCTGTGCCAAAAACCCAAGTTGACCTTGATCCCCCTGGAGTGGGATATGGCGTTGGAACGGGTGTCGGGAACGGCGTTGGCGCAGCAGTAGTAGCGGTGACTTGCAAGTTGTATGAGCCAGTGTCCCCGGCGTATCCATGGACAAATATGGAATACGTGGTACCAACCGTGGAATCGAATATGACCGTGGATTGAAGAGAGCCGCAGCCATCGTCGTTGCCACCTACACACACCAAGCTGGCACAGTCGCCCGACCAAACTGAAATCTGATTCACAAGAGAAGCAATTGTCAGATCGATCGTGTCTGGCAACATGTAATGCTACCATTTTGACGCACCATGGAGTCATAAAATGTATCGGTGCAGACGCTTGCAGTCAAGGAACCGCCAGTGCCTGCTACTGAAAACCAGTCGCCAGGTACGTTCTGCGGGTAAGCAGTGTCACATCGTTGCGATGCATACATTTGTGCCCCGACAGTAGTTCCCAAACTGCTTGAACCAACTGATACAGAAGTGGCAATCAAACAACCCATTTCCAGGCTTTTGATGTCAAGAGCGGGCGTAGGGGCAGGGGAGACAGGGGTCGGGGCAGGGGTGACGGAAGCCAAGGTAAGCTCAAAATTTCCGGTTCCTCCCGCGTACCCATCTGACGAGAAAAGTGGCAATCGGGTTAGAGGCGATCTAATGAGCACTCAGTAGTCTGCTTCAACCAAAGAGCTTCTTACAGACTTTGATGTAATAGGTTTGACCAGAGATGGTCGAAAAAGTAACCTGAGACTTCAGACTGCACGTATCGTCGTTCCCACCTTAAAGTGGTACAAGGAATATCTTTGATGAGAAGTTCTTCTGAAGAAGGACGTGTTGGAATGGCTGACTATACCTACCTACACATGTAAGTGAACCGCAGTCTCCCGTCCAAACACTGATTTGCGTATCATAGCTGGTTGTTACACAGAGAAGGGAAGGGATACGTGAGAACCCGACTCGCAATCGCCCACACCCATTCCCAGCACTTACCTGGCAAAGTTGCACGTCGAAGCAGTGATTTCACCCCCTGTGCCAGCCACGCTGTACCAAAGGGCGCTAGAAGTGGTAGAAGACGCACCACCACAGAAAACACCAGAATACCTTGGCGCACCCAATGTTGAAGCTTCAGTTGTGGATGGAAGGGACAAAGCTGTTGCCGACGAACAACCTTGGGTGTAATGCAATGGGGGGGAAACGTGTCAGACAACAACAGCAGCCCAGCACTTTCGTCTCCTCCAATCTCCAATCAAGAGCAACGCCAACAAACTCACCCACAGAGGGATCCAAGACCTCATTTGGAGTTGGTGCCGGAGTTGGACCTGCTGGCGTTGGTGCCGGAGTTGGACTTGCCAGGGTGGTAATGTCCAACGAATAACTGAACGTTGCGCCCAGGTATCCATCTGAGACAAGAAGCGGTGTTAGCTCTGCCTGCATGCGCGTGACTCAGGAAAGAAGCCACATGCCAACTTACAGACGTAAATGTAGTATGTTTGCCCCGAAGTGGTTGGGAAAGTAACTTGTGACCTAACAGAGCAAAAGTCGTCGTTCCCAACAACACACTGCAAATTGGAGCAGGACCCAGTCCAAACACTGAGCTGGGTATCACCACTTGGCGTATTACACAACGAAGCCATGACAGAATCGCCAGTTCCGAAAACACTTTTAAAAAAGTGACACATCAGGTTGCAGTCAATTATTCATGCATGGCAGTGTAGACGCGCTTTCCTGTACCTACCTGTACCAAACTCCAGGACTGTTGTGGTTTCTTGCAGAGCCACAAGATCGAGAAGAATAGGTCGTAGCTGTTGAGGTGTCCCCAGTCAACGTTGAGGGGATTGAAACTGAGGTAGCACTCTGACATCCTAGCTGTGGATCTGTTGCGGGGGCTGGGGTGGGGGCTGGCGTTTGTCCTGGGAGATAGAGGCAAAATTGAAGCTGAGCAGCAGATGATGATGATGGCTTGACCCACAATTTCCTGGACTTACCTGGACAGTTGTTTGTGGCTGCACAGGTGCTGCTGTCAATATCAACGCTTACTGACATCCAGCCGGCGACAATAAAGGACAGTACATCTGTCGTAGTGCATGATGTGGTAGGGCTGGTATTTGTGAAGAACTCGCCAACTGCTGAGCAGGTCTGAGTGGCTGCATCCAAGTATGTGCTAGATGATGAAAGGCGATAGATGTTGGTGTACATGAATAAGTTACCCAGCAGTATGGCGCATTCGGACTCGGATGTTGAGCATGAATGAGCCTCGCACTCTCGGACGGATTTGACATACGCCTTGTTTGGCACACCGCTACTATGGTGAACCTGCAAAACCGGAGGGAAGATTACAATATTATGTTAAGGTGCGGCTAGAAGGCGATATGGAGGCCGAACCAAAATTTTGTTGACTTACGTCGAGAAAGCTTCTGTAGTCACAGACCTAAAGGCAATTTGGGAGATGAAAGTTGAATGATGTGTTCGTACTATCCAATGACAGTATATCCTAGGAAACTTACACTTCCAATGGATCTACCGTCATCTGGTGGATTCTCCATGTGCCGCAAAACACCACGAGAACCTTGAAGCCTGTAAGAAAAGGAGCAACGACAAGCAACATTGTGAGTGGGTGAGTGGGTTTCGGGGAAACTAATATGGACCTGCATCAGGACCGCCCGGAGTGTGGGAATTGCAAGGGAAGTCAAGGTAGACTCCACTTGTCTCTATTCTCTCTGCGGTGCACTCACTGTTCCCCAATCAGAAAGTCCGGTGTATCAAGAGAATCGTTCACGTGATATTCTATAACTGTGCCATAGATATCCGAGTAGCTGGTTGGAATCAGGTCGAGCACAGCGGTAAGGTGAGAGTGTCAACATCAGGAGGCTCCAACTTCACCTGCAAATTTATAACCTACCCTTCATTCAAACCTCCACTCTGCGCATCGTAGATCAAACCACTGCTGTACCGTGTGACGCCATGAGCTAACTCATGCGCGATGATGTCTACCGTCGTGAGAGGGGTCCAGCGAATGCAATCACAATCCCCAACTGGAAGTTCTGTGGTTGTCAGCAAGCATGGGATGACCGAGGATACGGATGATAGGTAAGAATATATCGTTTTGAAGGCATGCACATCATGGAAGCTTGCACATACCGTTAAAATGGGTAAGGTTTTGTTGTACCGAAGGTGAGAGAACGAGGTTGAAGCATGATACAGCAATTCCTTCATCACAACCTACAGGTAATTTCGTTCGAGCGGTAAAAGGCACTGGTATTCCGAAGAAAGGAAAGCAAGAATGAATGGATGGATGGGTGGGTGGATGGATGGATGGATGCTGTATAAAGAAAAGCTGACCTCAACAAGACAGTCCCACTGGGGCGGACTCCGAGTCCGACTTACTTGCAATAGTTGCTGCCATAGTGGACCCTCGATCTCACTGATTGCGGACTACTTGATGACGCCGCCAAACCGCCCATGACATTCAGAGCAGACTGCAAGTGCTGGAGAGTTACGACCGAAATATAGTGAACATCACTCAGAGCATCACCGCAGGTGGTGGGTAGCTCCACAAGAGCGCCTGTGGACCCAATATACGTAAGAAGTGTAAGGACAAAAGCGGTGTTTGTTGGCTCTCAACAACTCCGTGGTTGAAACTTACAGTTGAATGTGGTGGAAAAGCAATGGAACGTTCCAGTATAGAAAACGGAAGGCACTGAGCCTGGGACATTGACAGTGCTCCCATCGGATTGGACCGTTGCCTCCGTAACCATGGCATTCTTCCCCGTGTTGTCCAAGTACAAGGATCGTATCTCCTGTGTGGTTTTGGTGGAAGAAAGAATCAACGTTTCCCGTGTAGCACAAGTGCTGCATAGCTCGGACTGAAGCTCCCGTTGGTCTTGGCGCAAAAGTCTTCGTTCACTCACGGTTTTGGATGACGATAAAAGACAAATGCTCAGAATGGTGAGATCGTACGAGTGCACAATGACACGGATAACATTGGTTTCCCCGTCATCAGTCTCCACAAGCAAATCAGAGAAGTACACCAAGTAGTCTTCTAGCTCTGTAACGTAGATGTAGAGCTTTGGAGGCTCGATGTTGCCACTATCCTCGTCAACTTGAAATTCTTTGGACAGGTAATGGACGGTAGATTCCTTTGTAAAGCGAGGGGTGTAGCCTCGTTTGACTTGGACAGACGAGAACGATTTTCCAGTAACCTCTCGAACAGTGAGGCCTTTGAACCCAACGTCTTCCACATGAGCCTTGATATCTGATGTGGCCGCATCGGCCGCCAGTTCTTCGCCGTAGCATTCATCCAAGGTTACAACCGAGTCGGATCCATAAATGGGGATCCCATTGATGGCTTCATTGATGCGCAGGCGCTGGACAACACAAGACGACGCCTCTCCATTCACTCCGGCAGTGGCAAGACGGACCGGAAAGGCTTGATTGACAACAAACGAACTCGTGGTTCCATCATCCGAAGAAGATTGAGCATGGATGCCTGCGGCATTTTCGGTCGAGACGGTCTGGAGTCGGGAATAGTCCAAGCCCGTACCTTTGCAGCGCTGTTCTCCTTCGGGCAAGGATGTTAGCACCGATGAAACCCGGGCAACTTGACTGAATACGAGTAAAGCCGTAAGTACCCAGCTCAGTGAGGGAGTTTTGCGCCAATGGCACTGGGACAACAACATGTTTGGTGATTTCTTCTTTCCTCCTTGGATCGGAAAAACGAAAAAGTAAGACTATCCGGACTCTTTCTCCAAAGCCTTTGGATAATGAATCATTGAACGAAATGCTCCAGACGTGTATTTGTATGCTTCCACGAGCCCTCACAACGGTCTTCAGAGTGCGCCAAGAGGCTTCAACCGGTCTTTACTATGGGACAAACCTCACTTTCTACCGTTGGAACATGGCTTGAGAGATGCACGGCTGCGCCAAGGGAGAGAATGGCCTGTAACTTTCACTGTCATGCCGTAGTGAACATGGAACGCTAGATGTGCGAAATGCTTCTCCGAACACTTGGCTATGATGTGCGCGAAGCAATTCAATCTAAGTTCAAGGGCTTTTAGGTCTTCGATCTATGGCAGGCTCTTGTAACCCAGCGATGGCAGCTAAGCTGCCAACTACTTCACGTCGCCAACACTAATAGACAACGATTGTGTACTAGTAGACTATTGTCAAAAGGACAATGGCTGAAGACTGCAGCCTGACCTATTGAATTCATTCCAGCCCACAACTATGAGCAACGATCGAGTTGTTGCTGAAAATAAAGACTAAATAGATACGTTAAGGAGCGAGGGGGGCGAGGCTAGGCAAAGCAGTGGCTGCGGTGGTGGGGGGCTGGTGTGGTGGGCATACGGGGAGAGCAATGAGGACGCGAGCAGCTTGTTGCCATGGTGGCATCATGGCATGCACGCAACCCACTGCCAGCAACGATAGCTGAAGGCAGTGTTGGGATTTAGGTAAAAGTCATTTTAACTTTATACTAGTATTTACCGCAACTACCGTTCTTAAGCTATGTTGAGTGTGAATAATTAACCGTTTTCCGCTGGCTTACAACAATGGCTGGGGACGTCTCAACTTTGAAAGGCTGCCTTTGCCATCTTTTACTGGCTTATTTGAAAAGGCCGTTGCATGTTTCGCCACCTTCCAAAAGCCAAGACAATCGGCTCAGCAGAAGGAGGACTTGAATTGAATGAGTGAGAAGGTGTGGTTCGTCGTTCCAAGAAGATTGCTTCTGTCAATGCTGATGGTAATGGTGACACCTCCTCCTCACCATGATGAAAGACCAGAAATCAGGTTTCCATTTGTGGATCCTTCCATTGCCGCCATCTTGGCCTGTCAGCCTTCTAACGGTATTGCTACCGGAACACCCAGTTTTGGGTATTATTTGAAGAGGAATGCTGGGACTCTGCAGCTGCAAGGCTGGAAGGAAAATGCTCATGTCTCTCAAGAGCAACGGCTGATTCACTTGGCTTTGGAATGCGATGAGTGTGTCTTTGTACAGCAAGCACTCTTTTCTACTAAAACATGTACCACTGTTGATCCCCGCGATAGTACAGGTACTAATAGTAGTCAAGATCCAAAATCCCCTGATCAGCAATGCTTGGAAACTTTGGTGGAGTGGGGTAGCAACAATAATAATAATACGGTGGCAAGCAGTACTGCCAAACGAGTCATGGCCACGCTGTTGGCGCTCAACCGTCTGGAAGCTGCCATTCGTCGTGCCACGGGGCACCATACTGCCGGAAGAGCTCCCTTGCTCAAAGACATGCTCCAAACGCTACAAGAAACCACAACAACTACCAGCAGTAGCCAATCAACAGAGATTTCCTCCGTTCTGCAAGTCCTCTTGCTGCCCACTGGACTCAATCTCCGCAATCTACTCTTGCATGGGTTTGTCGCCGATCTGCCACGACCCTGGTTGGCACTGGTCGTGGTTCTGATTGTCCTATTGGAGCAAGATACTCCAAAGTCAGTGTCGCCCTCCCTTGATAACGATCATGATGATCAGGAGTTGTTGCCCAACTTGAGGGCGTACTCTTCCTATGGTCCCATTTTGAAACGAGGTCAAGAGCTGCTCCAGGGACCAGATTTGATAAAGTCCACATCAGCCTCTTGGATGTCATCGTTTCACCAGTACCAGCAATGGTGGACCCTCATCCAACAGTGGGCCCAAGAATATCACCATCACACACAGCAGCATCCGAATACTACTACTGGATATCCACTCTGCAGTTGTATCCTACTGACATGCCTCCTGGAGCACATGCTACGACAACTCTGGTGTCAGGACAACAATCAACAAGCACAAGATTCCAAAGCCAGACCAGCCAAATACTATGTCACACTTGATGGACATGGACAACGACATCAACACAATGTACTGTTGCATCCCTATCTAGTAAAAGACGACGGCAGCACCCAGGTTCGAAATGCACTTGTTCAACGATTGGGGGCTCCCACCATGGCACTCTTGGCCGATCTCTACTGTTCTCCGTGTGGCGGACCCAATCTACGGGCCAGTCTGGCACATGGATCCTGGGATACATGGCTGCAACAAGAGTTATTATTGCGACATTCGTCCACTGCTATTACTACAACTGATACCACTATTCCAATAAATCACAACAACAACGAATGGTGCTGGGATTTGGTCCGCGTGCTATTGGTTCTCATGGAAGCCATCATGAGCAATCCACGAAAGGATCCAGTCAAGCGCAATGCAGTTTTGCTACAACACTACCGCCCCCTATTCTCGTTTACCACCGTGACCTGTCTCAAAATGGAACGGGCCTTGGAACAACTGGCACGGCTGCAAGAAGCCATGGTACACTCGTCACACTATCGAGATCAGTTTACAGCCGCAGCCACGACATCCAACACTCTACTAGCATCATGCCAAAATATCCTGGAATTGCAAGTTGGCGAATCCCAACTGGCGCAACTTGCCCAACCCGTGTACACTCAATGCCGGTACAGTACGACTACGACTACTACAACTCCCTGGACCGTGGACGACTTGTTCCACGAGCACGAAACCAACCAACGACTTGCATCTCTGGGAGCGGCTCGAGCCTTGCTGGAGGACGTGCAAGAGGCCACGTGCGCCTTTTGTAACGGCATGGAACAAATTCTACAACCACAACCACACGGTTCGTTATCGACTCGACAACGAAAACAACGTCTTCGAATCCTGGCCATTCATCCACTGGCCAGCAGTGTCTATTCATTTGCGGCCATGACGGCGATACTCCTCATTGACTACGAACTGCAATCTTCTGCAACCGATAAGACGCAACACTCGGAACAAGCAACAATAGTAGTGGATCGAGAGACGCTTTTACAAGCCGTGAAACGCTCTCGCATGGTGGTGTCGACCGTGTCCAATTTCATCACAGCCAATGCCGACCGTGCAATCAAAGCCGCCAAAGAATACCGACAAGGCAAGGCAGTCAAGGCCGTCTTGGCATCGACGGTACAACCAGTTAGTGGTGGTGGTTCCACAGCATAGCTAGCTATAGCCAGTTGTCAAAAAGGAAGTGCAAATTAGAGACGGGAAAGTGAGAGAGATGAGCCGATCATGGACCGGCGAATCATGGCATGGCGAAGGAGGGAAAATAACTACACGCCGTCGGGTCGCGTCGGGTCGGGTCAAGTCGAGTTGACACGATGCCATCGTTCACCGATTACTCACGGGGAAGAGCGGCGACATGACGGGTTTCTTGCTTCGTCTCTCCAGCGACAATGCTTCATGTATTTATGCCGGTACCGTACAACGATGCATCCTGCTCTATAACTAACTATGCTAGCTACGATACTGTACATAGTATGCTAGCTACGATACTGTACATAGTAATACTACGAATAGTTAGTTCCACCAAGAAAAACGTTGACAAGGAACGTTCTTTGTTTTCGTGCCTGCTGCATGCACTCTCCGTCCCTGGTACCTGGTACACACATAGCAGAGTACTATAGAATCGATTCGATTCGATTCGATTCAATCGATTGGACCAGTCCAACTTTTCGGACCGAACGGCGGGGGACCATGGAGCAAAGCTATAGGAATAAAGAGCCACTTTCCATCTCAATAGCCAAACGTCTACGCAGCCATGCAGTTGGAGTATAAGCTGGATGTTACCGTATGCATCGGTACAACATACAGAGCGATGCTCACTGATGACTCACGAGCTATAGAGTACACGCTGTATCATCATTGCGAGGGCATCTGGGATGGTATCGGTATCCCCCACGTCTTGTTTCGTCTCAGCTGCATGACCAATAATAGCAAACAGAAAAAAGGGTGAGACCAAAATAAACTAAAGCTTGCCATTCTGTATGTATGTACCCAACAAACATGCAACAAATTTTGATAATACTGTACGTATCGTACCGCCTTCATGAGTTTTGGATTCTGCAGTACTTGTTTGGAACTTTCCATGACTTGTGGCGGAGTACTCCCACGAGGAACCGCCACGAGTATTTCATCATTTTGGAGATTGTACGATTGCAACGTGAGTGCATTGATCATTTCGGTAGGTGTTGTTGTAGTAGACTTTTTTTTGTTTTTGTGCGTGGAACAATCCATGCGCAACAATCGCAAAAAGGTTTGTCGTGCCATGGTGGGATCGGATGCCAAGGAGGGTAGGAGTTGTAAGAGTTGTGCAATTCGTATTGGTTTCTGTTGTTGTTGTGTATGTGTACCGGTATCGCCACCAAGTATATCGTACTCGAGTGCGACAAACTCGTAGGCGTACACTTGGGGCAGCAACAGCAGTACGAGGACTCGTTGAGTAGTCAGTTGATGTTTGGAAATTTCAAATACCGTTTCGAGACCATTATCGTCCTCGGCAAATCGGACGGACCGTAAATCGCCGCGGACCATGTCTTTGTGATTGCTGCTTGTAGTGGTACTGCGAAGACAGGACTGTAAAAGAATGGATTCGTTTGGTGTTGCTGGTTGTTGCTCTTGTTTGGATTTGGACCGTTTGGATGATGACTTTCGTTTTGGAGATTTCTTGGGAGATCGTTTCTTCTTTTGCTGATTGAGTTTTTGCTTGTCTTGTTCCAAAAAGGTTCGAAAGGAGGAGAGGGTATCTTCATTGGCATCTTCATCTTCTGTAGATATTGCCGACTTAGTAGTAATAGTCTTGTCTATTGAAGATCTAGCCAATTGTACTTGTAAGCACTGCTGGATGAGATGCTGAGTGATAAAGATCAAGACAGCCAGACTGAAGCCTCTATAGACTTCCCACAGGACATCCATTCCATCACCCACTAGTAGAATACTAGTAGTACTAGTACATAGCATGACAGCCAGCAACATGCCCAAAATCCACCCATACAACTTTTCCTTTCTTTTTCTTTCCTCATCTTCCTGACATTCAGATTGTTGATATATAGAATATATGGCAGCCATTCCAACAGTGCCACTGGCTACAGAGCAGCTGAGAAGGGTAGCATGGCCCACCCAACCATGCAGAAATACAAGAGCCAAACTGGTCACACCCAGATAATCCCACTGAGGCTTTCTGTTCCTCTTATCATGGTTATTCTTATTGTTCTTGTTTGGATGAATCCAATACATCATTCTCATTATTGTCTTATTGTTCTTATTAATAATATTGACTTCATTGCCTTGCTATGATCATGTTGCGTTCTGCTTTCGTGTTTGTATCGTCGTTGTGTCAAGCAACGAGAGCCCCTGAAACGCACGCGGTTGTATTATACGTATAACATTTTCACTATGTATTCTACAGATCATACGTATTACACATATAACATTTTTAATATGTATTAAACAAGTTATACGTATAACATAGATAACACAAGTGGAACAATATTATACGTATTACATGTATTATGTGTTGTACGTATTTGACGTATTACATGTATTATGTGTTATACGTATTTTACGTATAATACACAGCGACGAATTTTTGCTAAGTTTTTTTTGCCAGTGTTGTTTTGCCAGGTTTTTGCCAGGTGTTTGGGAGGCAGAAGGAAGATGCACTGTTGCAGCCATAATACCTGACAGCTATCAAGTAAATGGACTCTTACTATCTGAACTCTCTCATGTTGCCTAGATACAATATCAATGATGAAGAATGGACTCCTTCTTCCATCATTGTGAATGTAGCAACCTCACTAGCTATGATACGCCAAAGGAGATAAACATAATGGATACTCTGGGGTTCGATAATTATCGAATGAGAAATCGACGTGTATTGGCTCCCTTCGATGTATCAATCTTGTGAGCCGAGCGCATATTAAGAGAAGTATTGATGCCATAATGACTTTGTAACTTCCTTGCAAGACCCATGCTGATTCCGCATCAAAACAAGGATTTGATAAGAGGCGAAATCACATTACCAATCATAAAGTTAGTCCAAGGAGTCGTTTTACAAACAACAGGCCCAAAGAGGACAGCAACAAAACCAACCAATCAGCTTCCTGTTCGAGTGGGGCGAAGTGTCAAAATGTCTATTCTCTTCAACTTTCTATCTAGCCAGAGAACACAGACGATGGTATGCTACCCAAGTTCCAGACATGCAACAAGCTTCATCGTGGCCATGTACAACTAGAAGAGGCACAAGTGAAAGTGTTAAGTACTCATCTTGGCACAGAAGCCGTTACACTAGCGGAACAATGCCTAAAGAACCACCTCTCGCCAAGTGTTGTTAAGACTTTACTTTATGAACGGACAGGCTCATCTCTAACTTTGAAACAAATCGAATCTCTAAGGAAGAGTTTGCATCAAGGAGTTGTCTTGTCTTTGGTGAAGCCAGACGGTACCATCTCTCAAGTACCGCATCAGGGGGCGACAGCTGCAGACAAGAGGGAATTGCACATAGAGTCTGGGATAGCTGCCGATGGGCAGTCTTTCAGTCACACATGGGCATTGTTCCCATGTGCTTCAAAGTGGATATTCCAGTGGTTCTACCGAAATGCCATGCCCCGACTTCATTCGGCCAAAACTCTGTCGAGAGTAGAAGTGGCTGCTTATGATGAAGACGAGAAGTGTTACATGATGTTCCAACAACAGACCGGTGTTGGCAAACCATTCTCAAATGCTGTAGTTCAGCTTTGTAATTGCACTACTCTGTGCAACACCAGGCTCAAAGCATTGGTGACAAAATGCTGACAGTCCAGGATGGTAGATAGGATGCGTGGTGATGGATCCATCTTCGTTTCGGCGCTTCGCGGTCATCGGAATGGCTTCTTGAATACATGTAACAAAGTTGCGGGGAGTGATTTGTTCGGGGAAAAAGGACCAGGATTGTCAGGGCCAAAGGGAATCCCCTCCTCAGATTCCTCAGCCTTCGTCTCTTCTGCATCATTCTCGTTTGCCCCGTGACCGTCTTGCGGACCAGATTCATCATCAGAATCCACCATGATGCCTAAACGAAAATACTAAACAAGAAAACAAAAATAGGTGAGACAACGAACACGGGTAATACGTATAATACAGGTAATACATATAATACATGTGATACGTATAACACGTGTGATATGCATAATACATTTTACACCTGTTACACGTATAACACGTAACATAATAACACATTACAATGCATAACACGTCACGCGTAACGTATAACACGCGTAACA